TTGGTTATTTCGATAGTTGCTGGGGTGGCCTTTGAAGTCACTCTGTTTACCGTATATGCTTCAGTAGGCGGGGATGGGTTGAAACTAGGTTAAGTTACATTTTATTCCGTCATTCCTATTTGGATCATTTCGATTTCACGTTATGTGAAAAGATTCTGCTATAGGACGTCCGTCATCATTTCTAAAGTCACTATAAGTAATTTTGATATTGTCAAAGTTGACCGTGCGACCTGAAATTATGGTTAGAGTGTTTTTCAAGCTTTTTCAGATCTACTAGGTGTCAATGGTGTATCAAGTGGAAGCCTTTCGGTGTTCATTTTTCGAAATTTGATTTTATAGGGAAATTTGACTTATGTATGTTGCATCGTAGTTTGATTATTTTGTTTTATAAACACAATTAGACTGTGAATCCAGAAAAATCTCGTTGTTCAAATGGACTAAGGTGCTCTGCAATATGTTTGATATTCTGTAGAACACTCTGATGTTGTATTTATTGAGTATTCTTCTGATTAGATCCGAGGTGTGCGGTCTGTATGGTATAACTATTGTCGAGGATCATGATTTACGTGTAGTTTTATGATGTAATATAATGCAATTTTCTATTTTACTTTGACTAACTTCACACATTCTAACCCCTTAACTCTTTTATTTTTATACGTTACTAAAGTGTGTGCTCTCCTTAAAAGACTGAAGGCGACAAACACTTTCACACTGATTGGATGTGATGAACTGAGATTCCATTAATGAGTTATCATCATCATCATTATCTATCGGCATAGGACCAGGCATTACTGTGTAATGATCCAAGTTGCCACACCTCATATCAGTATATCAATTAAAAAGGTAGTGAAGAAATATAAAATACTCAAAGAGAGAAAGGAAGAATGAGAAAATAGTGAGATTTCGTATAGCGTCGTTAAGATGAGGATAATGTGTGTGTATACATCTGCGCCACTGACTTCGGTTTTGAGCCATGTGGTCACCTAGAGTCTCCGATCCCGTGGACACCGACCAGCCAGTCTGCATCGCCACACATGACCCAAACAATCAGTCAAACACTTTATACATTGGTGCCATATTTTAGTCTGGTCATCTCAGGTTTTTTTCCATCCTGAACCTACTTTTGCCGACATTGTGTGACTAGGCAATCGGCAACTAAGCATACGTGACACGTGTCCCAACCATCTCAATCGATAAAGGTTCACAACCTTATCAACTGACTTACCTCCTCTCCTTAAAACTCTACACCTCTACACGGAATACGGCCTACACTACGAAGGCAACGGTGGTCAAACACTTGAAGCCTTCTCATGTCTTCCAGCTTCAGTGGTCATGTTTCACAGGCATACAGCAGAACAGAGTAAACTGTTGTGCAGTATACGCGACCCTTGATAAACAATCAGATATCACGGTGGTGCAAGTTGGCAAAGGCCAGCCGAGCCTTATATGATTTAAATTTAATGCTGCAGAATGTAGAGTTCAGCTGAACTAAGAATGCCAAGTACATATGTTTTAAAACTATGAACGTGTCATCAACATACCTTAGCCATATTTTCGCCTTTAGTAAGTGTGAGAAGACATTTTCTTCAAATTTATGCATAAACAGACTTACTACTGAGGATGAAGCAGGTAAGTACGCACACTATAGCTGGACTACATATAATCATCATTTATGTCAACAATTTGACAATACAGGATCTTCTATCCAGAAAAACTCGAATCAATTTATCATATAAAAGCTTGGAGATATTGTAAATTTCTGTTTAGTATAACTTTGATAAAGCTATTCGCACAAAATATCAAGACGTGTATCAAAAAATTCTTGTTTCCTTTTAACTTTAATTGTGAAATACAAATACCCTATTAGTGAATTGCCAATAATGTATTTTTGAGGTTATTGGGGTTGTTTTTTTAAAGGTAGTGTACATCACAGACTGAAATCAATAGGAGAACCATTGAAAACCTGAGTGCAGTGGAGAGCTGTCTTGTTCCCGTATGGGATTCCTCAATCCCTATGGGGTTCATGAGTTTGTACTGATAAGGAGTCCCAAACTGGGAAAAAACAACTGTTCAGTGCTCCGAGATTTTCAATGCTTCTTTAACTGATGTCACGCCTTGATGAATACTAACGTTAAGAATAACAGATAAATTACTTAAAAACGAACCAAGCACAAATGTCTTGTCTTTGATTTCATATAGAGACTATTTCTCTTAATTTTATGGAGAAAGTCAAGTTATTGATTGATGCTTGTGAGAAGCAAATAAAACGAAACACGCGTGCTAGATCCCACAGTTAGCCACCACCAAAAAAATCACACTAAAGTAGTGATGCTGCGTTCAAGGTTATGTTATAACTAATATTCTTACAATAAAGCGAAAACATGTTGTCTTCTCTTGAATAAATGCTCAATATGAAACAGTAACTTCTTCCCTCTAATGAAATTGGATCATTATTAGTGTTGGTTGTATCCACTACCCTCGCTAACTTCACCTTACTTCGTACCAAGGCCTGTGTTATGTCTAGTGGTTTGTCTGGGAGTTAAAATAATTGATATTTTTACCACTTTGCTATAGTTACTACAGTCCCAAACTTTTTCTCTGTTACATTATATTAGATTTACTAAATAGAGGCTAGAAATTAAAGTGGTTTTAATTAGTTGTGTTTATGTTCTCTTCATGCAATCACTCACACTGTCACTCAGACAAACGGCAAGTTCCAACGTGGAAATCAGTGATGCGAAACCCATTCTAACTGTGTATGAGTCATCCTTCATTTAGTCATTCACTCACTCACTCATCTGTCGTACTGATCACTTTAAACCATAGAAACTTTCGTCTGACCTTGAGCCTCACGTGACTTTATGTTGTCTGAAAACTAGATCACCAATTCCTATTTAACCTTGTAAATTAATGCCCTGGAAAACTAGTCTTTGTTTATTATGATTCTCTATTCTATAGATTACGCTGCTTATCTCTGCCTACTTGAGATATGAAGCATGAATAATTTAGTTACAGGCATTTAGGCTATAAAAGCATAGTAAGCAATATTATGCGTTTGTCAGTCTTGGTCAAAAAAAAACTAGATATCGACATAAATGCGTAAAGTAGGAATTTTCAATTGGAAATCACTGTGTACAGTAGAAAAGTTAAAACTTAAAATTATTAAACAATGCCATAGTAAACATCCTATATTGTAAAGTGATCGATAAGATTGGACAATTGACTGTTGATCTCTAGTAGAAGATTATTGTATATAATTCAGTTTCTACAGATCAATAGCGACCAAAATAGCTCAGTGGTAATGTCTATGACTGCGGTACTAAGTGATGTAGGCTCGAGTCTTTGTGCAAAATATCAGTTACTTTGGGATTTCAGATACTCCTTACAGACAAGTACCAACAAGCACAGAACTGTTTAGGTCCTGGGCTTCCTGTCAATTGCCTGGAATCATTCAATATGATGCTGATGTGTTCATGAGAAACACCTATTGGAAATATGGGAAAAAATAGAAATCTAGATTGTAAGACAACAGGCTTTCCTTTACTCATTATAAAATCTAGTGCAATATGATTCCATAGATGCCATCAATCATTAGATGAGTATATCCTCAATCGAACAGTAACTTATGACCCAATAAATTGTGCAGCAAGTATAATAAGGTTGAAGAGTGGTAGATGAGCATACATAAGTGACTGAACTTTTCGAAGTATCAACTGATACCATCAGTTGGATACTAATCAGGTGGTATACACACTCTATACTTGATCGCATAAACCAGTGAAGAAATAGAAGTACGCACACAAAACACATTCACAAATGAGCTCTTTTTGTTTTTGGAATAACTTTTTGTCCTGTTATAGAGCTGTGAGCCACGGTCGTTGAAAATAGAATATATGAACGGATTATAGGGTTTTGATTACAGGTGTTTTTGTAGTATTACTCGCGTGTGGTGGAATCACCGTGTGAGAAATGGGGTCAGACGAAAGGTCCTAGGCAAGACAGGCAAATCGATTGATGAGGTTATGAACTTCCAACGCTTTAGGTGGCTTGGAAATGTGTTGCACATGCTGATTCACCGCGTAACTCGACGTGTCATGCTAAAGAAAATTGGATTAGGTTAGGACAGGGTTCAGGATAACCAGACCAAGACATAGCACCAGTCGTTGACGTCTCTGGCTACTGGGCTCCCCCAGACCATAGAAATCAATGGTTGAGAACTCTTGGTGGCATGGCTGGAAATCGGTGACAGTGGCTCAAATGTATTCACTCTTTGACGTCTTCTAAACCCTGAATATCTGCACTCAGCTTCGTCTTCAAATCGCTTATTCTCTCACAGAACTTTGATTACTTTGAAATCACTTCTTCTCTATTCACCTGTTCTTTGTATGCTACAGTGAAGTGTAGCAACTTGGAATGATGCACTTCTGTGCGAGGTTCATTCATTCAGAATGTTTGAATATTTCACTATTTAATTCTTCCGAAGAAACGCTACAATATATCTATGTAATCTTGAGCAATAACATTCTCGGACAGTAGCTAATTATCTTGATTTAGGTTAACTGGAGTAAGCCTTTGTGCATTTAGGCGATCATATTGACCTCAATAGCTAAAAAATTTTCAGCTTGTAATTAATATTAAAATTTTTCAGTACGTCAAAATATTCGATAGAATTTACATGCGCTTAGTAGTTGGTAAACTAGTGAACTGTAAGAAATATCAGGAAAAGTGGTGGAATTTGTAAATCAATCAACCATTTTATGCCTTACCGATTCATTGATCAATTATCTGCGTTCAACCGATTTAAGCAGTTGGTGTTTGTGGGCAGAATCAATCCAGGCACATCTCTGATAACCACAAAAATGGTGTCCGGCAGGCGTTAAAACTACTTTGATATGTCTAACAAAACCCACAGATTATTGAGAAATGTTTTTTAACTACTTATATATTTCATTAGTAGTATAAATATCAAAACTAAAGAAAAAACATCTCGAACTACTTACCTGACCAGGTAAATCAAATATCAGATAAATTTTAGATTCTTTCTGTTTTAGTAATGCCAACTGATCAGCTAACCAACGACGATTTGTATACAAATATTCCATACAGTAAATTAGTCCACCATTTGGACCCAAACCAAGATAATCCATGACTTCATCTAAGCGAATTAAGTCGGCCAAATTAATTGAACAAGGATAAGGTAAACTGTCATTGGCTGGATCCAAATTGATGACAGCAACCTTTCGACCTAAATATAAGAATATGAAAAAGATGACTATATGATACTCTCTAAGTTAACAGATGCCATTTTGCCAATCTAAGGAAAATTGAGCGGAAAAATGAGTTTAGGTAGTTAATATAGCTTGGAACTAGCAAGCAATGGAATCCAGAAATCCTGTTTTGTCGTATTTATAACTCACCAACCAGATTTCCCTGCACCCCAGTGAGTAATAATGTCAACATAGAGACTCACACCCAGCACTCATTACTTTCAATCCCACAGCGTATCCAATAAGGAGTTCCTTTGTCTACAAAAACCTATTAGTCCAGTTTAATAAGATGATGACCAGTTAGAAATCCTAAGTATTAATTGTAAACTAAATTCTAAATTCATATCAGCGTAGTTTGCTTCTCCGCTTCAAAAGTTGAACCTAAGCAAAATAAATAGTAGGATGTTTCATCAGATGAAACTGCCATTGAAATCACATTCGTTTGGTAATGTCTCGAAGACTTCATGCATATATATATATATATATATATATATATATATATATATATATATATAGGCGACAGTAACTAATCTGTACTATTTAGTCCAGTAAACGTACGCGTACAATGCATTGTATCACTCACAAACCAGCCTGTGTTCGTAAAATTTTAACAAGTGAATAATTTTGTAAACAAAACTAAACTACTTAATTGCAACAAAGGTAGTATTATAAATAACTTCCAAAGATAAAACGATAAATTGCACTTGATTTCTAGGAATTTAGTTTACATCAACATTTGATGAGATTGAGTCCAATTATAAAAAGCGTGGCGTAAAATAAACATAGTTATTTTAACTAGCATTCTCAATCCAAAAGCAACTGGTTTTAATTCTGCCACAACACCATTCCGTGTAAATCCAAGCCGCACTTTACGTCCCAATTGGGACCCATCAACTAGACATACCTACATCCCAGCGGGTGATGGAGTCCCAAAGAGACTCAAACTCATGATCCCTGGTTTAATACGCCAAAGTCTTATCCACTAGGCTACTAGGGTAGAGATCGATCAATTCGATCCGATATAACGACGGGAAACTATACGTATAAATGATACTTCTAAATATGCTTAGCAATACATTTCTCAATTTCCAGTGAGCAAAGAGTAAGATGAAGCGATAGGAAGTAATTTAAAACGGCACATCCTGAATTGCGTAGGCAAACTAAAAACAGGATAAAAAAAGTACCGAACGAAAACCTGAAGAATACGCAGTACCAGATAGACCTCACAAGACTAAGTAGGTCAGAAAAAAGGGTGTACACTTAGAAAAAAAGCTAATTCATGAATAAATTAAGTCTTACCCAATTTTGTAAGGAAATCATACATCGCAGAGCAGTATGTGGTTTTTCCACTGCCAGGTGGTCCGATCACTAACTGTCCATACAAATTCAACCCTTTAGGAAATGGATATGGTTTAGCATCGGATGACATCATGCAAAAGTGTACTGGTTTGAACTATTCATCAGAAGTGTACAGTGATGTATCTGAATAGAAGGAACAAAAACAATGTACAGATACCAACAAGGAATATTTGAATTATAATCAATCAAAAACCTCTTACGAGATTCTCCTCTTTACAAGGATAAAAAGGAGTGAAGAGAGAGAGGGAGAGAGAGAGAGAGAGATGAATGGCTGAAAAAGTGGATCACCTTATAGTACAAAACTCCGGGTAATCGAAGATAAAACAGGTGTTATTAGGTGACCATGTTCAGGTTTAATTACCAGGTTAAAGGTTATGCCCTGTGCTGTGGTCCATTATGTTCTATAATAAGGCTGTGACAAATGGACATTACAAGTTAGTGATCACATATACCTTCATATAACTGTTTGCATGTGGTGGAATCACCACGTCAGGTGACGGGTACTAGGCAAGGAAGAAAAGTCAGTCCATGAGGTTGTGAACCTCCATCGATAGCTAACATAGAGTGTTCAGAGAGACGTAATATATATCCTAGCTATTTCAGTCAGCAAAGTAACACAACCCCATCAACTGACTCATTTTCCTTACTTTAGACTTAATGCCTAATATCTACATTGATCAAAAAGTTGTTCAATCACACTCACTGTTGTTGACGTTAGTGAAACGCCCACAGCCTTTGAGACTGTGTTTAACAGTCTTTTAGTACGACAGAGTGCAGTGAACTTTGATAAGTGCCACAGGTGTGGTAACCTGATGGAGACCTGAATCAGGATTTGGTCAGAAATAAACTCATCGGAGTTAGTGAGCATTCTCAGGTAGGTAGGTAGTTTTACATACTCAACCATTTCGTTTCCTACTTGTCAGATGGAGCATCAAATATCAATGAATCCCGAAGAAGGAATTTTAGCGAAATGTGGTAGCTTGTTTGAAGACAGGTAAATATTCCTATTTAATTGTTATACTTAGGTTTGGTCCATACACTTTGGCAGCTTATTCATATACATGATTGACAAAAGAAATGTTAGGCAGTAGTTACATAGAGTTGCATAAGACGGAAATAAACATATGAAGAATACTACTCTTGTATTGCATACACCCTGGAGAAAAACAGCTTCTTGTGTGAAGTATGTGCACTCATGTGTTGTGCTGAATGAACCAGATTATATGTTAGTTGGATGGAGGCAATCTGTAGGATTTCGCCGGTGATTTATGTCTAATGTCGCACAAACCCGAAGATCCATAAGCGAAAAACAACAAGTTGACAGAAGAGGTGAAGCGAGGCAGCGAAGATAGGACTCCCTTCAGGTGAACGTAGAGAAGACGTAGGTGATGAAGACACCCAACCAACAACAAGCACCAATCACCACTAACGGGAGAAATCTAAAGGAAGCAGCCTCTTTAACCTACCTAGGCAGAATAGTTTCAACCACAGGTGACGGCGGTGGCACAGATGAGAATGCAATAACCAGGATCGGAAAGACAGCAAGACAGGCTTTCATTAATTTGAAATCAGTGTGATCTATTGCATTCAGCATGAATAACAAGATGCGGATTTTCAACACTAATCTTAGTCAAGTCAGTGCTTATATGTGATAGTTGAGAGAGTTGGCGCGTCACGAAAAGCATTCCCAACAAACTGCAAACTAATATCAACAGCTGCCGCCTACGCTAGCTCACTCGACACTGAAAATCAGATCAGACCAGATGACCAGAATAATAAGAATAAGCAACAAGGAACGCTGGCTGGCCCCGCAAACTAACCAACCAAGAACTCATCGCCTAACAAATATGCAGAAGAAGAAAGTGGAGATGGACTGGGGATACACTGAGAAGACCATTCGGGGACATCACGCCCCAGGACAGGTCCTTCGGTGAAAGAGAAAGGGGAAACGACGAGTCGGGCGGCCGAGGGTGACATGGAGAAGATCATGTGAGGAAGAAATGGAAGCTTGTGGGCAGTCGTGGAGCCAGGTTGAAAAGACTGCAGAGAAGACAGTGAAATGGCGACGTGCTACTGAGGCCCTGTGTTCCACGGGGAACCCAAGGGACAATCAACAAACATAATAATAATAAAAATCCACAGGAATCCCTGGAACTGGGTTTCATGCTTATTGGCACTCATCAGCAAGGCGTATCTGCAACAACGGAATCGATGTGTCGCTGCAGTCAGAGACGTTACCACTGAGCTATATGGGCTGTGATTTACCTCCCGTAGGACTGAATTTGACACATTGATTATTCACTAAAGGATAACATCATAGTGTTATGATCAAATTAAATTATTTTATCTGCGGGTAGCTGTGGCTCATTGGTTTAGGCATATGATTTCTAACTGATAAGTCACGGGTTCGAACCCAGCCTCTCCTACCAAGCAGTGACCAGCCAGGTAGTCTCATTAGGCCTCATACACTAGGTTTGTTTCACCACCTACTGCACGAATGTGTACAAGGTAGCAGAGTGGATTTTGACTCTTTTTTGTCTCCAACACGTTACAAATTTAAAATAAATCACTGAATAGGAAGAAAAACAGTAAAAAGGAATTAGGAAATCAAAAGACAACTGAAATAGTGATGAAATCATGATAACAATAAACTTTCGAGACCGGATAAACGTCTGAAGATTATGCATACACTATCATATATGTTTCAATCCTTGGTTTCAACAAGACTATAACAGCTAAGCCTTACAGCTGATATTGATATTCAGTGACTCAAAAGATTGATGTTATGTTATGTTCACAGCCCTTATTCATCCTAATGCTAATTTAACTAACACCATATATATTCAGGTAAACAGTGGATAGGAATACGCAAAACATATCCCGATAGTACATTGATTTGTCACCCGAGAGTGAACAAATTACAAGTGTTGTCTACTCCAAAGTGCTGACCGAAATCTACGGATCATTTTTCGATATGATCATAAAGCTGAAATATTCAGTATCGCTAGTTGAAGGCGATCGGTAGAAAACCCCCGTTTGACTCAGCTTTCGTGCTTTTTGGCACTCGTTAGTATCGCGACGTTGGGTCTTGTAGCTTCGCAACCATACCGCAAAGGGATTAGTAGAATTTGGTTAGTGTTCAGTAATTAGACCACCCGAAATTCATTAGTCTCTAGTGACAAATCATTTTATCTACTCCAGTCCTACAGGAGGTCAGTCGCCTTTGGAACAGCTCAGTGTTAGGGTATTTGACTGCAGAACTGAATGATGCCGGTTCGAATCTTTGACATCAGTCTCTTTGAGTTTGTCAACAATCATAAGACCTTGGTTGTATTGTGTTCTCTGAGCTGAGTTGTTTAATTTCATACTGAAGTTAATGCTGATGATGTCGTCTAGAAAGACGATGAAAGCTTCATGACTGAACAACTCAGCTCAGAGAACACAACACAACCAAGACCATCCACCTGAGCTACAAGTATTCTCCACTATTTCAAAATCATAAAACCTATTTCACATAGGGTTTGCTGTCGATTACCTTCAACCATCGGATATATCCTAACCGTTTCAGATTCCCAACTTCATTAGCCTGCCTATAAGCTCCATGTAAGAAACTACACATCGTCAAAATTGCACATTTGATGATATCACTTTACGATTAAACGGTGATGAACACATGTCTATAACCTACACACATATGCAGTTGTGGCTTAAACATATGAATGACAGCCATTGGATGGTACATTACGATATACTCAATTCACTTCAGCACATGTGCCCGAGTAGGATCATGAGCCTTTGCACATTAAATACAGCTCATAACTTAGTTCATAAAGCTGTATGTGATTATATACTTCACTTGACTTTTGTAAGCTATCTACTTTCTGTCATTACGTCTTAAGCGTATAATAGCAGGATGATGCCCTTCAAAACACTTGTCCCTTTATGGTCAAGCGGATATCAATCACAGGTATGGGGAATTACCAGCATGTCTGACTACTTCACATTTTGTAGACAGGCTAGACACAGGTAAGAAGACACCCACTGATGCATTATTCTTATGTTTATTAGATGTAGGCCGAATATTTCATGGTTTGCATTCTCAATATTCCAAAGACTACGTTTCATCACCTCGCTCTCTTACTCAATAAGACTAAGTTTTGGGGAATCCTGCTGTCGCCATAAGATTGTCAGATGATCTGAAAGTAGCAAGGCAATTTCTGAGCAATTAGTTCCAACGCAAGCTCGTTACAATATAGGCACCCAAAAATTCAGCACAAAACGTAATATCACGACACTATCAAGCCGAAGATAACAGAAGGCATGGCAAGAAACATGTTCCCGACCGATATCTCCTACCTTGACCTTGACTTAGTGGTCGGGTTTGCATACGACAGTGACCCAACGAGCTATACTAGTGTAACGCTTGTTCCCTGGTGGTCCCACCCACACCGCAAAGGTCTGTTGGATATTAGTAAGATGAAAAGCAGCTACCCTTATAGTGTAAATTATTGCGCTGTTATAGACTATCAGATATCACAGCAGCCCCTTAAACGGTGTAAGTTGGCGAAACCCAAGTGAACCTTTTGTATCCATGCAGTCACTGACTCATTACGGCTGACTCGACTTTTCAAGTAAATGAAGTCGTCGAAGCACCCCTACCCATTCCTTCCCAGTTGTTAGACTGACCACCAACACAGTTCAGTCGTGAAGCAACAATTCGCATTCAGATGGTGAGAAGGGTGTCCAAAACATTCTCAAATTACTAGTTGTGGTGTCCAGTAGATTTCACATCTTCAAACAACAGGACTACGTCATCTGCCTTTTCTAGGTCTATTAAAACGTCGCTTGTGACAACGTTCATTACCATTAAGTCAGATGACGAGGAGACCTCCATAAGTGCGTCTACGACAAAACTAAATAAGAATCTAGAGAGTGGATATCCTTGACCTAAACAACTCACCTGATACCTCATCATACGCTTGAATACGCCTATGGGTGCTCCAATAGTGTCCTCAAGAGGATTATGTACGCAACCCACGCTCCTTTTGATGAGAGGTGTCATAAGACCTCTCGATCGAGAGAGTCGAATGTCGTATTCAGATCGGGTAACAAATCTAACTCCGAGGGTTGTGTGCCTGTGTTCTAGAACCTGGCGGAGAGTGAATATCTGGTCAACACACGACCAGGTCTAAAATCTGGTTTGCTGTTCCCAAGCTTCGTTAAGGAGTCTAATGGTTATAGAATCTAGAGTCTTTTGTGCTATGTTCATCGGACTGATTTCCTGTGGTTATCACAAGAGGACTTCTCGCCTTTCTTAAGGACTGGAGTAAGCAGCGATTAAGACCAGTCGGACGGGACCATATCTGATTTCATACGCCAGCTAACACTTCAGTCAACCCGACCATTAACTGCTGACCACAGTCCCTAAATACCTCCGGGACTAGCCCATCTGCCGTTCCTCGTTTCAGGTTACTTACAGGGTTCTCAACTTTTGGAAGGGCTGGCAAGGGGCTTATCTCGGCGTTCCGTTGAGGACCTGACTAGGTAGTGGACAACAGAATAGTAGCTGAAGGTCAGTTGAACTGTTAGTTTCACTAACCATTGACCTTTTCGCCCCAGTTTCCTGAATAAGTCTAAATAATTGTCTGCCGTTACCTATCGGTGTCTTTTCCTTCTGTAACCTTCACTGCCCATCACGGTTCGCAGTAATTAAATAGACGTTTTTCCAACCTACATTCGAGTAACTTCCGCTCCTCATTGTTCTCGGTGTCTGCAGATAAGCGTTCACGTGCACCCATTAGTTCAGAAGCTGTTGAAACCCACTGACTCTTTCTAACATCTTTCTGTGTTAGTTGCGAACTTGAGCGCTGCTTTTGCAGCATACTGGAGACGACGTGAGGATCCTTCTGTTAGGTGATGATTTTCTGTACAGATGTCTGGCCAGATTCTCGCTTAAAGCAGCCTTAGTATTCTTATCATCGAGCAGTACTCATAATGGTCTTGTTTCTGTAGTTTTACTACAACTGATTAGGGGCAGACACACAAGTGCTTGAATCAACGCTTGTTTGCTGTCCAAACACGAGCTCCAGAAGGAGAGATAGTCTTCAACTGACCCTTACCAGCAATAACTGATAGCAATATAGCCTATCTGTGTTCATCATTTAGTTGAGGTCGGTAGACACTCCATCAGGAAATGTCTCTTTATGTCTGAAGTTTGTACTGGTCAGAAACAGATAGTTGTTTGAGCATAATTATAGCAGGCAATTGTCATTATCTGTTCATTCGAATGGAATTCCGATAGTGACATTTAATTGCCTTTTTGTCTGACAAAACCTTCCTAATTGTGCATTGTAATCAACTGCAACAACAACCACATCTGTGCGTTTGGCCTTCAATAGGAGGGTAGATAGTTTTCAGTATAACTCATGCCTCACTTCTTCAGGACTGCAGTCAGTGGGTGTGCGAGTAAAGACTACAAAGAGACAACGGTAAGTTTCTAGTCGAACAGCGCATAAGTGACTGCCAACTTGAATCCAGTAGAGCAGTACACTTTATGCATTAGAACTAAAATAACTAAACCTGCTAGACCATGACAACTAGCCATAGAATCTCTAGGAACTCGAAGGGCGAATTTACCAGACTCATCATATTGGTCGGGTGATTTTAAGTGAACATTCGCACTTGGGTCCTGTACGCATGTCTCATGAACACATTAATGGTGTGAGATGCCAGAGATTTGTTAGCGACGCTTTTTGATCGATTTTATGGAGGGTGCGGACACTAAAAACTTTAATATGTGGTTTGGAGTGCGGTTTAAAGAGACTAAGAATCCTGCTACATGAACTCAAATCGTTATGGAAATCTGGAGAGTTAGAAGAAATAAACGATGACCTAGGAATATTGTAGGCGATGTGAGGAGAGATTGGAAAGCAAAATGTGGAACGCTGATAATGATCTGAAGGAACTTGAGTGTTTATAAAGTTGCTGGAAGCGGTTGATACTACCCCGACTGCCCACACCATGGGAAGTTACTTCTTCTTGAGGTACCTTAAAAAGAAATTAGATTAGTAATGGTGGTGTGTGGCCGCAGGTTCAAGGGCTGTCTGCGTGAGGCCAGTCTCAGACGGCCCCTTCAGCAATTCCAGGTTTAGCTTTGACTGGTTCGCATCCAGCTAGAAAACCCATACCGCCGGTAATGGTATGCTGTGGGGTAGGAAGGAGTGTGCTATTCTTGCAGCCGATTTCTTTTAGCATCACAACCTTCCCATAGGGAAAACAGCATCAGCACATTTTTGCTGGTCATTCGTGGGGAACACCTAATTGCTGTCACATCTCGGTCCGGCCGGTAGTACGACTTCGCTTTCGGACCCCACATCATACAGTAGTAATATTCAACAGACCTTTTTGGCATGATAGGATCATGAGGGAACAAGCGTTCTTCCAGCATACTTCGCTGGATCATTGTCGTGTGCAAACCCTACCACCACGTCAAGTTAGCAGCTACCGGTTTCACTAAGTCAACAAAGCTGGTAGAAAGAAGAAGTAACCAAATAAAACCACAATCTAGGTAACAACATACATACTATCTAGTGAGAAGGTAAAATAATCAAGAAAGGAAATGCACAAATTTATACATGTATTCACGATTTCTGACAGAATCACTTCTTCAAACAAGTATATGGCAGTTTATTCTGCAAACGGATTGGCATGAATTGTTATATTTTGTATATGAATATCAGTCAAAGGCTTGTAAGTCTTTTCTTCAACCGGCGAACGTTCCAACTCATCCAAAACATTCCATCCATCGATAACTCTGATGCGATATTAATAGAAAAGAATGGTGAAACCAATTCAAAAATATATTTCTATAACGTCACATACATCTACTGAACATATTTGTTGATACGATTTATTGGAATGAAATTGAAATGCAATCCAACAGTCACATATGCACGTTCGTTTAATAGACAGTCAGCAGTACCTATTGTGTACGGGTAACCGATACTAACTGGCAATGCAAACATTGGTGACGGGAGTGTAATTCGAAACCATTACTGAATGGTTGAAAACCAAGTGCCTAGACTAATGAGGCACAATGTCACTTACTAAAAATGCATATATGCACGGAATATGTAGCGCTAGCTGCAGTTGTGTTTACCAAAATAATAAAAAATAATATAACGGCCAATCAACGCATTTAAATGTGTACGCCGTCTCGGTGAGGGGGAGGCGAAACAGTGATCTATCAAAACAGGTAAGTAGCACGCGCACATCGGGCCCAGTAGTTGGATATCAAGTCTGCAAGCCACTGAATCACAACTTTACCAAAACTAACTACCAAGACAGATATTCATGGGGCATAGTTCGGACCAGTGACCTGGTTGTCAAATATTTGGTGCCTATAGTTACAGTTCATATATGTAATTTAAGCAGAATGGTTAGTTTGTAGGTTGTTTCCCAGAGATGATAAAGTGTCTTATCAAAAGATCAAGTTAAGTTCTTTCCCATTGCATACATTAACCGGAAACACTTATGTAATAGAGGATGGAAAAGCAGTTATAAAATAATGAATGAGAGTTGTTTAGCTAAATGGAACTCAAGGATAACAGACTGGGCATGTTTCAGACCTAACGAAGGGCTCATCAGACAGATTTCTACTCTTCAAGAGGTTATGGAACACAGGCATAACTATCGGCCACCGACACTTGCCGTTTTTTGGTCTGAGGGTGGCATTCGACTCTGCTGACTACGAAGTGTTGTGACAGTGCCTAACTGTGGAAGGAGTACCGAGAGAGTATGTAACGTTAAACAAAGCTCCCTACTAGAACTCACACAGTCGCGTAAGGGCTTATGGAAAGTTATCGCCTGAAATGACGAAAGCTAGTAGTATCCGCCAGGGATGCCCATCATCACCATTCCTATTACGCTTCGCCATGTGTGCTAATGAACGTAATCTTAGGTACCTCAGACTTCACAGGGATTGACCTACTTCCTGAAGGGCATCTGGTTGGCTTGAAGTACGCGATTGACACGATCCTACTAGGTGAAAACGCTGAGAAAATGCAGTCTTGTGAATGCCTTGAAAAAATCTGCGCATATTTGGCATGCGTTTCGCACATGTCAAATATAAGATTACGCTTCAGGATTGGTTTACAACTACTCCCAGATTAATGTTAGAGGGTGAAGCGGTAGAATATGTCGACCATTTCACTTATTTGGGGAGTTGCATCAGCTCGAAATCCTAACTTGGAGAAGGTTCGCTTGACATCTGCCAAATCATGCTATCTCTGGCGCAAGTGAGATATCCGACTTGTTAAAGGGTAAGTCAGATATCCTGCATCAAATTTCATCACAGTTTTGGTTGTCAATCATCTTTTTTTCCCAGTATTTTTCGTAATTCCGTCTGTTTATCTTTCTTGTAGCAGTTTATATTAACTAGCGTAGAATCATCCAGACTTATCGATAAAATCCTTCCTACCCATTAGAATTTTTCTCATGTCAATGAAACGTAATTCATTTGTCGTTTACAGGTCATTCATTCTTAAGAAAATAGTTTTGATTAAATTGATACAGACATGGCGTACATTTCAACAGCATTGGTAGATTTATGTTCAAACCACCCGTTTTAATCTTTGTTATGAGAATGTAGATCAATAACTTTATACTACTCAGTATTCTTTCTGTTAAGTACCTTAAATAAGAGGTGTAATTAGGACCCCAAAAGTTGCTTTTTTGAAGCTAACTCAAATGAACAGTCAATAAGTGCGACATATGCTTTCTGTGACTTTGTGGAAATCCATGTTTTAGCTTATCCTCAACACAAAAGTCGAAACATTCTCATGAACTAAATTCAAATAAGCGCTAATGATACTAACTGACCACTCAAACAATGGTAGTTGGAGCAATGTTTGAAACTCTGACCAAATGGCTGAAAGTCAACTATTATATCAATGAACCAAAGTATCACTTGTCCTTAAACGCATATTTTGAAGTCTTATTGGCTCACTTTCAATTAAATGTTTTGGATAAAATTTGTAGATTTAACTCAAAATGGGTAATTTAATTAATTTTCCAAGTAAGTGGAATACTGAATTAAAAACTTCACGGAACAGTCAATATCCAAATCTAGAGGTTTTTATACACTTAGCCATCAGAAACGCTAATTTAGAGGTTATAACAGAGGGTGAGTTAACTAAACCTACAAAAAAAAACTCGACCAAAATAAGATGAAGAGGAAATGAAGCGAGTTCAACTTTGTGATAAAGAAGTCAGTATTTTTCACATCGGTTTTTAACAACGACGTAGTCGTCATGTAAGACAACAAGTAGATTAGGTGATCACAAATGTAAACTTTCTGCGACTACACATGGTTCTACCAGGATTACTGAGAATGCCTTTAGCAGCTTACATTGTATTTGTGCATTAGCTTACCAAACAGTTAAGATGCTGAACAACAGTGAACAAATAAACGTTTTGATACACACTGAATTACAAAACTTAAATGAGCGGTGTCTAACCCAGAGCCGCTTCCTTGGACTTTCCAAAATTCTAATATTTCAATATTAACTAGTATTTATTATCACTATATATTTTATTTTAGTCTGTTTATTAGAAATATCACACAGTGAAGGAACAGTAGCATCTACTGGATAACGTTTCGGACACAATTTATTGTCAATATTCATATCAGGTAACCAACTCCACAACTTCCAGACAGTCTTTATATATTCCTAGTTTTCTCTCCTCTGTGATGACAAGGGTAGTAGAATTTTCCATATATCTGGGACAGGTGCAGAACCATTTCGATTGCATGTGTTTGGTGTTGACTCGATAAACAAAGACTCATTCGGCCATCAATCTCTCCCTCACTCCACCCAACTAAGTTAGTTTTCAAACTGTCACCCTATCCCACTCTACTGTGTGATTGTGTGTCATCGCATGCAGAGCTATAGCCGAGTTTTTCTCTAGATTTTTTATCTTATTAGGATCTACTGATCTTGATTTATCTAAGTTTTTTTGTTCTGTTATTCTAATCGACCCTGGTCGACTGGTTTGACCTATGTACTTGACCTCGCAATCATTGCAAGGAATCTGGTAAACCAGATTATTTTGTTTAATTGCATCGATAGGATCTTTTAACCTACAAAGCTTGTTAAGAGAGAATTCAAAGCCTCTGCTGTGTTACCATACAAGGAAGGCACCTCATAAGCACTACGAAGAATTCTCAATACGGTTGGCTAGGATTAAAGTGGCATTCAAACCAACAAACTCACTTAGAAACAAGCTTTGTAGGTTAAAAGATCCTCTATTGGTGCAATCAGGCAAAAGAATCTGGTTTACCAAATTCCTTGTAATGATTGTGAGATTAAGTACATAGGTCAAACCAGTCGACCAGGGTCGATTAGAATAACAGAACAAAAAGACTTAGATAAATCAAGATCAGTAGATCCTAATAAGATAAAAAATCTAGAGAAAAACTCGGCTATAGCTCTGCATGCGATGACACACAATCACACAGTAGAGTGGGATAGGGTGACAGTTTTGAAAACTAACTTAGTTGGGTGGAGTGAGGGAGAGATTGATGGCCGAATGAGTCTTTGTTTATCGAGTCAACACCAAACACATGCAATCGAAATGGTTCTGCACCTGTCCCAGATATATGGAAAATTCTACTACCCTTGTCATCACAGAGAAGGAGAGAAAACTAGGAATATATAAAGACTGTCTGGAAGTTGTGGAGTTGGTTACCTGATATGAATATTGACAATAAATTGTGTCCGAAACGTTATCCAGTAGATGCTACTGTTTCACCATGTGACGCATCTTATAAACAGACTAAAATGGAATTACAACTGACCACAGTGCTCAAGTTTTACTCTTATATTAACGATATCGTTATCTATCAAAAGATGAGTATACTGCACTACAATCTGTTTTGTCCTGTTATACGGCTGAGATATGGCCGTTAAAATCAGACGACATGAAGCGGTTGGAGGTTTTTGACGTGTTTTTATAGCATTGCTTGCGTGTAGTGGAATCACCGTGTGAGCAATGGTGAGGTCAGGCAAAAGGTACTAGGCAAGTCGATTGATGGGGTTGTGAACGTTAGTAGACTGAGATGGTTTGGATATGTACTGTACATGCCGAGCCATCGTCTAACTCGACGTGTCATGTTAGCCGAAGTTGGATTAGATTAGAGCAGAGTGGCCAGACCAAGACCTGACGCTAGCCTATGATGTCCCTGACTGTTGACTTGAGCCGTGTGAGGAGGAATAGAACTGCCTGGTTTGGGTTCCTGAGGCAAAAGGAATCAATGGTTGACGACTAACTGTTGGTGATATGGCTGAAAATCGGTCACAACTGCGCAGATGTATTCACTTCTTGGCGTCTTTTAAAGCTCGAATATTTAGACTAAACTTTATCTCCAAATTGTTTATTCTCTCATAGAAATTTGTCTACTTCGATATCACTTTTTCTATACACCTGTTCTTTGTGTGCTTTTCAGAAGTGTGACAACTTGACGTTCTACGTTGATTTTACCAGTCAGTCAGTGTCAGTATGCCGGTGTGATGTGTGACAAGTTAAATCGATGTACTTCTGTGCAAGATTTTTGCTGATTTTGTTTGTTTGTATGGGTGTACCCTCTAATCATCTTACTTTAAAACCACTAGAATAAAGATAAATTTATGCTATGTGATCTTCCAGACAGCATTCAACTTTAATGTCTTGAATGGTGAATTATCCCTTAAAAAATTACTATAAACTATGTTAATGTGTTAAAAGGAATTTTGACTCTTTATAATCAGTGACTACTTATAATTTTCGTTCGACTAAAATATGTTCAACTTGCTGTAATAAGTAAGTAGTAACGCTGAGTGCTGGTCCCAGTGTACAAACAGTCTTGAACAAACTTCTGAATATTTTAGGAATCTTGATTTAATAAACTAAAATTCCATCTTTCTGCTTATTTTAGTTGACAACGATTTGATGACTCTGGTTGACGCAGGCTAACTGCTGTAAATCACTGGTCTAAACACTTGACATGAGACCAGTGAGTTACAAATCCAACCACTGTTACATCTATCGAGGTATGGCCAGCCAGGAATTATCATTAACCCTTACAAAAAGTTGGTGGCTAATTAGCTGCTGCATGAATCTGCAAATGGTTTTTAGTGCATTTCATTTCAACAAGTAAAAGGTAGGATACTCTGATTTAGCGGTCCCTGATTTGAAGTCAACAGTTCACAGAATTCAAGTGTCTCGATACCATCAGAGAGAATCAATACACGATTTCTGTTCTTTTGGTGGCGGTTGATTAGATTTTGATGTCGTGTATACCTTCTCGTGAACATGGACACAAGGCATCTGAACATTTTTCGTGCTTGAAAGTATCAACTGTACAGTTAAAGATGAACTAATTAGAGTTATCATACCATGGCAGCAATATCTTTTCCAAACGATGCATAAAACCTCAATCATACACGCTCCAAGAACAACAGACAAATCAATGCAGTACAGAAGTGCATCAGCTCAGTTTGTCACATTTTGCAGCAACAATCAAAGACGAATTAGATATGAGTAGAGAGGGAATATACAAATGAAAGTTTGTAGTGTACATATTTAAGCAGTGTGACCAATTCTGAGCCGTTTCCTCAAGATTCTTCAACTAGTGTTTACGATCTTTTGGAGAAACCTAACTAAGCACCTCAAACCTCGTTATATGGCTCAGACCGATAGTCGCACAATATGCGACTTCTGGGTCTGGTCAACCTAATGGTTCCCAGCAGAAATATGATACTTCAGCTAACATTGTGAGTTGAGAGTATCGGCAGCATGACAGGTGCAAAACATGTCCAAACCTCCTCAGTCAACAGAGGTCCACCTCACTGACATACATTTTTTTCTTGCTTACTGCTGTACATCGAAACTCAACATTACTCACAAGATGGTTCCACAACACACAAGCAATGTTACGAATACAGTTACGGCCAAAAATTATCGTCTTTTCATGTTTACCCATTTTAGCGGCCAGGTTTCCAGTTATACAATAGGACCGAGAGGATTGGGGTGGAGTATACTTGCTCTTTGATATACAGCCGGATATTTCATCGGTACCATAGTTTGGTAAGTGTCAGATGGGCTTTTTGTATACAAGCGATCTGCAAGACAATCAGTCTATTCGGGCTGGTTAAACTCCTGAAGTAAATGAAGTGGTCAGCGTACTCCCCTACTTTACTACCTTTAGACTAATAGTCGGTGCAGACCACGATTGGAGCCACAGTTTACATTTGACATGTTTGAAATGTATGTCAAACATACTCAGATATCTGCTGAAGGTGCTAGGAAGAGTCTGTATATCGTGTCTTCGACCAACAGGACTACGTCGTCTGCGCAATTTAATTCAACCTTATACCTACCTTACAGATAGATAGATAGTAACCCGATTCTTAAAAAGTTGGTAAAAAAAAGCTAGGCACGAATGATGATAGCATGTATCCCTGAAAGACACCGTTGGTTTTCCTCACTTCAGATGACAACTTCCCAGAAATACGAGTATGAAATACCTGCTTCGTAACCCCATTCACAGTCAGATATTGTGTGGCAAATAACTTTCGATAACAGTACACTTTAAACGTTTACTATCCATTGTTCTTATCTACTATTGCAATTACAAAATACAAGACAATTCTGCTGAATACGAAATCCTGACTTGTCTTTTGGTCACCTAGTCCAGTTTGCGAAAGCTTAGAGATTATTAATTATAACTAAGCACTACATTTTGGTGTTACGAGCAGAATAAGAAAAATGAGAGACTTATTCGAAGAAATGGATATTTGAAGTACTTTTAGTGAAATGAAAGAGTATGCGGAACAATCCAAATCAGGGTGTACTACGATGCAGATTAATGAAAATGCAATTTTACTTTTCTTGATTTCTACAGAGGAAATATTGATATTTCATTGCCAGTGACTTATTCTGCAAGTCTTGGTTCACGGTATTACGCTGAATTAAAAAGTCTACTTCTTGGGTACCTTGCGCCACACAGTTATCACTGTAAAAGAGTGGAAAAACCCTATCAACTTGAGTTCAGATGAAAAGCTTATCGAGAACAACTTAGAAGTCCGTTCGAATTATGTTTAGAGTATTGCAGTTGCTAGGCTTTCTAACAGTACAGCAAAAAATGCAATGATTACCAAAAACACTTCAACCATCTTATACCTGAGGGTGATGAAGCATAATGCTTTCGATGGGAGTGGAAGAATCCAATTAAACGTATATAAATAACCCATGAAAAGCCTCACACATCTCTAGATAATGCAGAAATAACAGTGTCGACCACTGAAAATACTTCATACATTAATAACCTGATGACAATGAAGAATGATTCTCTTGGTGAAAAGTGGGGTGAGGGAAATATCTAGCCAAATACAGAGAGCCAACTGGTAAAAAACAGTTTGTAAGTAAGTCCAAACTGGAATTCAGACTCAATCATTACAGCTCTTATACCTTTAATTCCTTAGGCAGTTATTACTAACTACTATCTTCACTCAGTTTATTAGAATGTCAAAGAAGTCAAATTTTCGCCGCCACTACCTCCTGACCTTACACTATTTCGCGTACTAGGGAAATTTATTTTGGTGAGAAGGAGGAGTGATGACCAGACATGTCTTGTCAACGGACTGTGGTTCATTGGTTTAGCAAACTGACTTCCAGACAGTGGCTCACAGGTTTCTTCATCGCCCCACCTTCGGGGTTTGTGCAGCCAGGTAGTATCACTAGGCCTCACGCAGTAGGTGCAGACAGCCTACTGGACGAATGTGCACAAGGCTGATTTTGAGTCCGTAGGCTAGGTCAACAGTCCAAATTTAGTTCAAGTAAAGTGCTTGTATGCATGTGCCATAAAATTGTCACTTGTTATCCCTACTCCATGCTAATATGACATTACAATCATGTTTGTTATCCTTTTAAATGCTACTATAACTATGCTGTTTGACCATAGTATTGTAAATGTATTTAATATTGTGGTTGAACTTGAATAAACTGTGTGAAACTGCTTGGAATAGCGAGTTTTTTTCTTTCTGCATGGATCTGAGAGTTCTAGCCCTAGTTGACATTATTGATGAATCTCATAATAATACGAAATCCTATCTTATGAAAACAATGCATAATACCTTTCACCTAGGTCTGAAACCAGAATGATTTTCTCGAAATGTGTACGAAGTGCCGTGGACAACCCGTATGAAATGTACGGAGTAAACGTCTGTCCTGTGTGCGACATTTTCGTAACGTTCAGCTGACCAAAATAGCCCTTAGAAACTAGCATTTTCTGAATCACGTCCCCTCCTGAACTGATTCCAAGAGATTTTGTTCTAGTGTTGTCGGAGCAATGTAATTCGTTATGTTGAAGTAAATATTATTGCCTTCGACTCATTGTATGCTACAATATCAGGTGATGTTTACTTACTTCCAATAACTAAATAAATATAAGGTGGCCTGCTTAAATTTTGGGCAATTAAAAGACTTTCCACTGATCATAATCCATCATATTCTTCCCTTTCAGTTTCTTCTAATCTTTTAAATGTCTTCTGAATACATCATGTACTCTAGCACGTTTTTAAAATGCCTTCGAACTTTTGTTTATCAGGCTAAGAATAAAATAAAGGAAAAACCTTTCATCAGTTGGAAATGGATTTGTAAATGTTCAAAAATACACCACATTACTATTTCTACGATGCCTTTATGAGATTGTGGATTTCCGTGCTGGCTGACTTAACTGTTAACATCAAAATTACGCTCCATTTTGTGTTAATTTCCGAATCGAGAACAAATGCTAGTGTAACACTAGGTACCCGTTTTATACTCATCCCTCAATACTGTTATTATTAACACTATACGGACGTAATAATTATTTCTTTCAAAAAATAATGTACGTAAAGCGAATTTGTTGGGATATTCCATGCTGAAAATTCCATACTGTATCATACATGTTGTTTGGAATAAACCGATTGTTAATATTGTTATTATAAATAGTTACGATGTTTTTCTGGTTTTGTCCATTAGCGAGACTTGCTATACACCTGTTAAAAGTCCTACTTCTAAACCGACGAATTATATCATTCAACTTACTACTGAGTCACAAGTTTAAACCCACCCACAGAATTCTGCGTACGTATCCAGACAGATTTATAAGTCTTAGGTAGAACTCACTTTCCGAAAATCGAGTATTTCATATCTAACATTGTTTGCTTGCTGTAGGTGATAAAAAATTGAGAACCGTTTGAATCTGGACCATTATTTGCCATTGATATAATTCCTCGAGCATTATGCTGTGAAAGACAAGTGTTATTCAACATATATATATATATATATATATATATATATATATATATATATATATATATATATATATATATATATACAGTGATGTATTTCTAAAATTACCCTCAGTGAGTCATGAAATTCATCTTTAAACTTCTTTTTCCATATACTTTGACCATTTTTCCCAGTTCCTACAGAAACATAACAATGAATTCAATTTAGATTGTATTTATTTACACCTTACCAGTAGGGTCTCCAGTCTGAACTATAAATCCTTTGATATTACGATGAAATATACACCCTTTATAATAATCCGAGGCACATAAGGCTAAGAAATTCTGAAAATTAGGGAATAAAGACAGACAAATACATAGATAAGAGAAAGAGCAAGTGAAAACGAGCGATTACGTATACACACTAGAATTACGTTACAAGAGGAGGAAAGTAACCGTTTGCATAAAACAAAATAAAAATTTTAAAGTGAACACACTCCGTTATGTACAACAATTTAAGATATTAAAGGATCTACTAAGACATTATAAGAAGACAATGAATTCCGTGGACTAGTACCAACATTTACATTAGTTAAGGCAAGAATACCCCAATCACAGTTAGGTTTTTTGAAACAGTCGGCTTTCAGTGCAACCTGCAGTAGACGACATATCCGTAAAAAACCCAACCAATTATGTTTATGAATACCAGAGCATATATTGTGTTGAGGGTATATAGGGTTTGGACAGAGAATAAAACTGTCTGCATAAGATGAAGTTATATTATTTGAATCCATGTTACAGATGAATGTTGGCCGTGATACTAAACAACCATTACGTAAGTCGAGGACCACTTCATGCGGCTTTAGACTGCATACATAAGTTAAAAATGTATCCAATAAAACTTCAACTGATGGAAGTGGGTCCATGTCACAAAAGTGAGGGTGAACAACAGTAGAAGTATATGCATCAATATCAGTATTGTCCAGCATACCATAATTATCGATGAATGACTGAAGGCGAATAAATGAAGGTGCATAATTTGAAACTTGCAAGAAATTAATAAAAAGTGCAGTAAGCTTAAAATTAGTAAAGCCTGGACCAGGGCCATTCCGAGTTAAGTATAATTTACGGGCTATGTATTTCAATAACGTTATGTGCTTTTGAATTCCAGGAATGCATAAAGTGAGCAGGAAAATTATTTCAGTCATCTTTATTCCACAATGCGATAATCCAGTGGTAAGGTATGAGATATCTAAGCCAACTTTAAGTACGTGAGTGCGATCCACATGGAGAATAGGAACTCGACCATTGTATATTCTTGCCTGTCTAAATCCCAAAGGATCCAGCCTTTTCAATATAAATTGTAAGAAGAACAGAAACTTATTCTTTTCAAATTCAGAGTTTACTACCAGGACGTCTGGATCTTCTAGCCTCGGTTCACCATGCATTTGCTTTTCAAAACTGTTTAAATGATTGGAATTAAGATAATCGGCTGGTAGTTCAACAGCAAGGTCGATATCTGAATTGACTGATCCTAAACCATTGGTCACTGAACCGAATATTGAAACTTTTGTCTCTGGAAATATACAACAGATGACTTCTTCAATACTATCACTCAGAACGTATCTAGCCAAAATATCATGTTCACTTAAACGATTAATCGTGTAAAGAATGGAAACTTGATCACCAAGTGATTCGCAAGATCTTAAAATGCTGCAGATTTCCCTTGAGGATGAGGTAGGCCGAAGAATTTCCAGATTTGCTTTTGTAAATAGTTCACTTGGATATTGATAGGATAGATACTTCGTGATATTTTCAACTGGCCAAACAGATGGATTTGAACAAACACGAAATATAGGCAGCCTAAACACATTTTTCTTGCCCTCTGGACCAACAGTAAAATACATGGGATAAAGCGATGGCATTCGACGAAGTGCATAGTGTACAGACTCAGAAGAACATCCCTCAATTAATAGGGTACCGATTGACTGTGTTTTATTTTTGAGCGGCCAGTACACAGTACGATTTAACGGTCCCCCTATTCTCAAAAATGTATTTATTATGTAGGGGACACTCGCCGGTGAACAGGTCAACAAGATACTTCGTCTTGCTAGACATCTGTAAGCAGCTGAATTAATTATCATAGCCTTCAACTTGTACTATAAAACTGTCAGTGATAAATAAAAGCTTGAGTAATTAGTTTAGTTTACCTCAGAGGCTAAGGGCGCTTGCATGCAAAATAGTTCTATCTTCAAATCACCCAAATCCGTATGAAGTGTAACTGCCTGAAAAGTGCACAAAACAATAGTAATTAATAATAATAATAATAATAATAATAATAATAATAATAATAATAATAATAATAATAATAATAATAATAATAATAAGTGCGATGCGCACCACTGACTGAATTATGAGGCTGGAAACTTTTCACGTTAATGAGAAATGCTTACTAATCGGACTCAGGAGATCTGACTATCCAATTCACCTGGTTTTCCACAACATAACCCTACATCGGTAACATAACGTGCCAAATTAAACTATGATTAAGCAAGCTTAACCTATGCTTTTCTGTTTGTTCAGAGTTCTCGCTCATTTTTGATCCCTCCAAATTAGTTCGACTCACATGAATCAATATTTCAAACCGCACTATTCTGACTGCCACATTTAACGAAATTAGGAGTTATAATCAAGGTTTGTTTACTCAGTTTATTGAGGGGAATAACCAAGAGAATATTTCAGTCAAATAAACTTCATGTCAGCACATCAAGGTGAAAACGAAGAGAAGGAGAAACAAACAAACGAACAGAGGGACCAAAATAGATCAACGAATAACACCTGACTACTATACTAAAATACCTCTGATCGTACTCCATAAGGAACCGCCTTTTTACTTCGTATCAGGTCTAGGTGCTCTGAACTCCAGCAAGAATTGGAGGCTCTATCTCAATATTCCACTTAGGATGCAACTGGAGAACAGATAGCTGAAGGCTAGTTACACAATTCCTTGGGGTGTTCGGTTCAGTATTCCACTATTCTAACCTGCGAGTAAGTCACAAAAACACTTTTGTCTACAACTGTTTCGGTAACCGCCGACTTTGTTATCTCAGTTTCCCCAGTAAGACTAAATAACTGTTAACTATTGTTCTTCATCTCTTTAGCATTTGCTGTTTACCAGTGCTCACGGTCACTGCATGAATTCTTTGTCAGTTTATACTTCAAATATTTTCACTCTTTATTGTGCACTTATTGGCACTGAAGCTGTTGGAATTTTTTGGACCGTTATTACTATTTTCTGTAAGTCAGTTCGGTTTTTACTATTTTTACAGCAGAATGGATATGATGTCAGGTTAGTTTAATATAAGCGAGTGCCATACTTTGATAACTGTCTAGTTACGTGTGTGACATTTTTAAAAATAATGTTTGAGACTTAAATACAGACAGACAGTTAAAAATTAACATAAAACCTTGCAGACAAGTGCATCGGTTTAATTTGTGGATCGAAAAAGAGAAATACTGAAGTAAACTACATTGCATAGGAGGAGAAAAAACTTTTAAAATGAAAGTAAGAATGTTCTAACTTTGAAAGACGTTAAAAAGTGAATCCATCTGCGCCACTGTTACTAACGTTGAATCACGTTAACAACAGCCTCCAGTCATTTATTCCTATCATGTCAAGGACCCCAGCCACCTAGACTACACCACTCTACACGGTTCAAACCAACACTTAAGAGTTTGACGAACTGGTGCTGCATCTTGGTTTGGTCACTCTGGGGCTTCTTACAAGCCAGTCCCACTTCTCCTATCACTGCATGTCGAGGTAGACGGTGGCTTGACATGTGCAACGCATGTCCAAGTCATCTAAGTCGGCGAAGATTCATAACCTCAGACTGACTTGTCTTCCTTTCCCATTACGACACGCCTAACCTCACCAGTGCTTAGACGGTCATTCTACCATACGTGAGCAATGTTTTGAAGACGACTTTGGTCAAAAACCTGTAGCCTCTTTGTATCTCCTTTCAGCGGCTCTCTCACAGTCGTGTAAAGAGAAATAGCGGATTGCTGAACAGTTTGCTTGTCCATTGATAGAGAGTCGGATATTTTGCCAGCACCAGAGATGGCGCAGGTTAAAAAATGAAAACGGACCTTAGATTCGAAAACGAAGTGTGTGAAAATATGCATCTGAAATATTGGTAAATTTCCGAGTCCTCACCAGTAGTACAGCAACACTAATTTAATCGTTCCCCTTACATGATGCATAAAATAGAATGCTGAGGTATCACCACTGTTGATAGCATCAGTAAGTAGACAATAACGATGAGATTTACCATACTATCTTAAGTATTTATTGTTGGATGACTTCTGTCAGTAACTAGTAGGTGAGAAGCATGTTATAAACATGAGAGGTAGAGAAACGTCCAAAGGGGTACAGGTGTATGTTACCACATGTTGATTTCGACTAGTGTCCACCAAGTTCGCCAGTCATCGATTTCGGTTGGGACATAAACTGCGGATCTTACAATTCCCTACATGGTTTAGACTGTCTACGACACTTGTCATCTCTAGCTGCTTTAGACAATATTGAAAGTCATGAAAGGTGACGGGTCAGACATGCAAAAATTCAAGCCACGTCAGTTAGTAAGGGTCAATAACCTAAAAAACCGACTCAGCTTTTTACCCGCTACTTTAAACCCTAATTTGAACCACTTGTAAGAGATTCTACTGAAGCGCAAATGGCTTAATATTCACAGCATTCACAAATCTCTGGATTAAAAAACCATGCTTCACAACCAGACCGAGATGCTACGCAGTACACTTCTGTGAAGTGTGGTGACTTGGACCAATGAATTTGTGTGCTAGGTTCTACGTTGACTGCAGATATGAAGTCTTTACTAATGTGCTTCAACGTTTTGTGGGTGCCGAAAATGGTTCGGTGTGGCGAGGCTTAATCAATTCTTTTGTCTTTGACCAGACAGACAGAATCAACTTAGAACCTCACAAATAAGTGCACCGGCCCAAGTTGCCGACACTTTACAGTAGTACATAAAGAACAGGTGAATACAGGAGTTATATCAAAATAGACAAAGTTCTGTAAGAGAATAAGGAGTCTGAAGATGAAGATTAGTGAGAATGTTCAAGGTTTAGAGGACGTCAAAGCATGAATACATCTGAGAAATTGTGATCAATTTTTAGCCGTGTTACCAAGAGTTTTCAACCACTGAGTTCTGTGGTATGGGGGAACCCAGTCAGGTAGTCAATATCACCCAATACGACCTAGACTTAGTCACATTCACCACTCAGTTCTGTTGCATTTTCCAAGTGGATTGGTTAGCGTGAGCAAACTAGCTTTTCAGTAAATAATAGCATTCAATAGACAAGAAATGCATTCTGAACGACAATTCATAGCTAACTGTCCAGAAGACTGAATGTTTTCAGCATCATTTGAAAGGAATGTTGCTTGCGTACTTTGAATTGGAAGATCTCCATGAGGAAACCAGTCTTCCAAGGAACAGTGATTTTCATCAGTATATTCACAACGGTTACGAAAAAATGGGAAAGGATATACTTGATAAATATCAGTTTTAGTAACTACCTTGAGTAAGAGATGTAACATGAACATAAACGTTCTCATAGTCTTTGATATGGTTTACTTTAGAGCCTGAAGAAACATGGAAATCTTAGAGACATGTTTGAATACTACCTAGTTCCTTGGTTCTAATATTCCTAAATGTACCCAATGACTTCAGACTTCACGGCTTTTTTTGTTGATAAAATGAAACAATTACATATCTAAGTCAAACCAGAACACCTATCAATTATTCATACACAAAAACATCAAATTATTCAACCAACCTCCGTCCATTATCTTTAGAAACTTCTGCTGATAAACTATCAGTCTGATCTGTTTCCGATCTTTGTATCAGGTTACAGCACAACACAAATCTCCCGACCAATGGCTGCAATGTTGGAGTGGTGGTTAGGATTGGATATCACAATGACCTATAGAGCTATGCTGGTGGGTTGCTTTCTCCCTCCAGATCCTACCATGCCAGAAAAGTCTGTTGGACAGTGGTAAGATGAAAAGCGGTTACCATTGTAGTTTAAATTACTACACTATGGTGATGGTCTGAGGGCGAAGCCATGCTGTTACTAGCTGGATGGGGTGTGACAGCAGTAAGGTGTTTCCCTAGCATGACCGGTAGCGCCACGGTGATGCTGCCTTTCCTTTAGGAAAAGAGGGTCAGAAAAGGCCGGCCTCAAAAGTAGCACACTCCAGCACACCCCACGGTCTCTCGGTGCCGGCGGTATGGGTTTTTCTTCCATCCGGCGTTCGAATAATCAACATTTAAAACAGCCCACAAAAGGCTAACATGCCTAAATGAGATGTTTCATGGGCTCTATGGTCACAAATGTTTATCTCTTTCAGACACCTCAAGAAGACCTAGCCTTCCACAGTGCGGGTAGCGAGGAAGTGTCAACCACCCTCACAACTTCCAGACTCCCTCGGACCACTATACACTTCTCTAATCCTTACCTTCTAATCTCCCTCCGCTTCTCTCAGTTAACAATCCTACATCACCTTTAATTTCTAGCTCTGCAGGTTTCGACAACAACCTGAGTCCACAGAAGAGGATCTCTGGTCTCTTTAAACCACGTTCCAAATTACACATTGGAGCCTTCAATATCTGCACCCTCGTCAAATTGCCCCAACAAGCTTCATTGGCCAAAACTCTAGCAACTCAGGCCATATATGTGTGTTGTGTTTGCGAGACAAGCATACAGAACCAAAGTGCAATTACTCGCTTAACCTCTCCCGGTCAATGTGATGCGTCAGACCTTCGGGTTTCTGGAGATTCGATGACTAGTTACTCACCAACATATGACTAGTGCAATTCGACCTCCAACTACCGATTTCTTTTATTCCATGAAGGTCAAGTAGCAAGCAAGCAGTTTCTCAAAAAACTAAGCTAACCAATATCCGCATAGATTAACACTTCTAGTCTGAGGAGTAATACCTCAAAGAATGCGGTTCATATAGACACACAATATCCTTACCTGACTTGCCATCCTTCTAACCTTTTTATTGGACTTAAAAGTCACTCCATCGTTTACTGAAAATACTTCTACTTTTCATGTGTGGACTTCAAAATCGTTAGTACTTTTATCAAGCATGGTGATTATGACTGAAGCAAATAATTAGGAAGAAGTTATTAAGGTATATATGGTTTATTTTAATACAAGACAGCTTACAATAATTCACTGGTCAGATTTATGACCTAATGGGATGAGTATCCATGAATGAAGGGAATCCCAGTGGAAACCACCTTTTGGTATTCTTCATAGTCTTCGCCGAAAAATTCAATTAACGCCTTTTCCTCTTTGTATATCCTCTCCTTGAAGAAACTAAATGTCACTACGGCATAGATTATCAGGCAGAAGGGGTTGATAAGTAAAATCTGCGTACCAATGCACCAACAAAACCACCCAACATAAGCGGGATGGCGGAAAACGGAATAAACTCCACTTGTGACTAACTGGTGTTTTTTCTTCCTTTGGAACTGTACGAAATGGTTGAAATTTGCTCCTGCTGTGAAAAGAGCCAGCTTACGTATAACTTCACCAAAAACACACAGGACAGATCCAAAGCACTTGATGGTGAACAACTTCCATGTGTGATGAGGATATAGATCAGAAAAGAAGAATTCCTCAGACCAGTATTCCAGTACGCTTGCGGTAAGAGCAATCAAATATTCAGTGCTATGTGAAAGCATATATATGTCGATGGAACAGTTGGTTGAGTTGCAAACGGCAGTAAAATAAAACTCTGACCAGTGAAAAAAGGCAAGGAAGCTTAAGTAGACACCAAATGTGCAAAAGCCGCTATGAATATCCATACTAATAAAGGCCAGGGCAAAGAAAAGACCAAGACCGAAAACACAACCCAAGAAGTATGCACGCCAGCAATTGTCAAATACAGGACACCGTAAGACGCCAGAGACATACTTACTTATGAAAACCATGACTATCAGCATGACTGGGATCACTAAACAAGCCTGAAGTAAAACTGAATACAAAACATGGTTTAACAGGGTGGATGGCAAGCTACTACGAAAAAGGAACAAAAATAATGTGGAACCAAAAGAAAAACTTGAAAGTGATACGAATGAATCAACACAACTTAGACCGACACAGTCAAGACTACACACCATCTCACGGAATTCATAATGACCGCTTTCTAGTTCTATCTACAGACTTCAAACCTCGATCGGCAGAAATAACAAACGGAGATTCCTCAGGTTCTACGCCTGTGTTAAAGGATTAACTTCTTTGTTTAGACTATCTTTCTCAAGTTATAAACTCTCCTCAGCAACGAGCTTTTACTGGTGAGCAGAAGTGTGAAAGGTTATGATGACTTGTGAAGTATTTTACAAAATCTTGTACGCCAAGTTGGTCTGAGGAGTTTCGTATACCTAGTTCATTGGAAAATGTGCTACTTAGGCTACATATAAGATGGGACTCAACAGTGGTATTTGACGATATGACAAGTGAGATTTTCTCGTCCAAGGATTTATGATTACTTGCTTTTCGGGGGAACATTTACGTAGTTGGTGCGCTGGTGACATACAGCACAGTTTGTGACCGACACGAACCGAAGACGGTAGTCCCAAGACCGTGTTTCTAGAGGGCGAAGCGATCCTATGTTCTATGGGCCGTACATACTGAGCGGGATCCCAAAGACATTTTGGTGAGGCTCGAAAGTAGGGATAGTATTAAAGGCTGAATTGTATTTATTCTTACGGTACTCAAAGGGATTATAGGTGAGCCGAGTGGTTTGAATGAGTTGTATGTGATATTTCTGACGTGAAGGAATCCGGTACGCCACGTGGCACCCTGTTGTGGCTCTGACGCCTGCATAAACGTGATCTAGGGCATGTCTCATATGGGATGCCCCAAGTTATTGTAGTATCTGTTTCAAAAAGTTAAGGTTAAGTGTGAGACGTGCCCTTTGGGTTAGTTTTCTGCTTGAGGTGTCCTATTTTCAGTGGATCCGGCAGCAACCTTGTCTACAGCGATCATGTTAGCTACGAATCATCCTTCGCCACCGTTTGACAAAATGTGCTTAAAATTGGCTTTCTTCGAGAACTTCGTACGTTTAAAAAGCACGATTTTACCTACAGTTTGTGTTTAGTGACGTTACTGTCAACTAACAGGTTTTTATCTGCGGTTGCCTTAGGCAAGCTAGTATCGATAGCTGGGGTCTCGTGAGCAAATAAAGAATCTAGTTTACCTGCCCCTAGGTCCACTTTGGATTGCTTTACTGCTAGAATGGCCGGTGTAGTGGGATTACTGGTCCTAGCAACACTGTCCGATTGTTTCTCAGTGCACGAGGGGATCGGATTGTTTTTCCTTTGTTTTCTACTACGACATAGGGTTTTTTTCTGTACAATTGTAATAGCTTTAAAATTTCTATTTAGTCTTACGTGATCCTGGAAGTTAAAGGAACTCTTGGCACCATATGAGGTGGGAAACTTGAAAAAAACAGGGAAACTCGACTCTGCTGCTTTCTTGAGGAGGTATCTACGGTCACAGCGCATAGCTGTCATATCAGGTGAGTTTAATATCTTTTTCCTGGTAACATCTAGGGGTCTGGTGCCTGGGACATTACATGCCATACCCCGTTGAGATGCCAGCCTCTTCATTACCTCAGCTGCCAAGTGGTCTGTTTGGGCTTCTACTTCTTCGATATGATTTCGGACCAGGTTGTGTTTCTCCAGATATGCTATGTTGCACCAGAAGTGAAAAAGAAGTAACTATAACACTCTTTCGATTGGTAGAGCCACTTATGATGCTATTTGAGCTCAAAAACGCAGCAGAGGCGTTTCAACGATTCATGGATCAGGTTACTCAAGGCATCGACTTTGTTTTCGTTTGCATCGCGGCGCCGCGATAGTAAACGGTAAAACGGATTCCCTCTTAGGATACAGTGAACCTGATTCGACAGTTCCTCGGTATGTTAAATTTCATGTGACGATATACCTCAGTCCTACAACCTGTGACAGATTTGCGTAGGAACAACCAAGAAACGTTCTATTCCATCGACGACGCACACCGAACTTTCCAGAACGCTAGGGAAGCAGCACCACGGGTAGTCGTGCCGTCACATTTGAATCCCAACCCGGAAGCACGCCTGATCCTCTGCTTGGATACCCACCAATCCGTAGTGGAGACTGTTCTGTAACAAAAACTTGACGATAAAACCCTTCCACTTGCTTTCTTTTCACAGAAGTCTGAACCATAGCAAGCAAGACACAATACATCTAGGAGAGAACTCCTATCCGTCCATCTTGCTGCCGAACAGCCCTGTCGTCTGTTACAGGGCCCCGATTCTACTATGCCCACTGACCGCAAACCATTGTTTTATGCTTTCTGAACATCAGTAGACAGACATTCGCCAAGAGAAGTGAGGTAACCGGACTGTATCTCACGGATTCCTGCAAATATTTGGTTCGGCAGAGGCCATACTAACGTCATTCCCGATTCCTTTTCTGGAACCAGTGTGAATCTCCTGACGCGCCAACCGGACATCGGGCTAGAAAGGTGACATTACAGAAAAACGACGCAGATCTTTTGGGAAACCAAACGAAGTCAACTCTTATTCTCAAAAACGCCTCAGTACCCCTGTCCAATGCCACAGCAATGAGCCGTGTGTCTACGGATGCTAACCATCCCTTCCTTCTATTAGCCCGTAAACAAGCTGCGTTTTGGCACTCACATTCCCTGCCTCATCCAGAAGTGCGAGTCGCGGTTAGGTTAATCGGTTAACTTTTTGGGTAGCCTAAAGTGAACTCAGATACAAGAAGTTGGGCACGTGAATGACTGCATTATCGGCGCTTATAAATGCATTTACATATGATTACCACGCCCCATTGATTCCAACACAACGCAAATCTTGTAGGACCCCCTCCAGCGTCCAAAGGATTCACCTACATACCGACAGCAATCGATCGCTCCGCCAGGTGGACCATCGCTTGCCCTATAAGTGGCACTTCAGCCGAGAATATTGCCTTTGTTTTTCTTGATCGCTGGGTTTCAAACCTCGGTGCACCTATAACAGCCACTTCATATAGAGACTCATAATTTCAGCCGACAGTGTTCGAAGAGTTCACCCTACTTCTTGGGGCACATCGCGAACGAAAAACTGCATATTAGCCCGAGGGGTCTGGTGGAGAGATTTCATCGACGACTAAAGAGCTTGCTGGTGTCATTAAGTCACATTGCTAAATGGAGTGAACTTCTTCCCATCATTCTGCTTAGAATTCTATCAACCATAAAAGAAGGCTTAGAATGTACTCCGATTCAGCTGGTAAGTGGGACGAACTTGGTTTTACCGGGCCCGTCGGTAGACACGCAGAACGCGTCCTAAACCGAAACTCCTACGTTTGCTGAACAACTCGTTGAACGCGTATGGCTCCTACAGCCTACATCACCTCGCAATAGTAACCTTCGAGAACAGCTGGACAAACAACCGATGTCCTGCAGGTTTGTTTTCGTCCGGGTCGACAGGACTACAGAAGGTTTGCAACCTCCATACGAAGGGTCTTTTCTAGGGATTGGTCGGGTGGGGAAATGCTTAACAGTAGACAAACACGGAAGGGACATTGACCCTCCATCGACTAAAGCCAGCCAATGAAGTCGAAGTGAACCGGGCATCGATTCAAGGCTAAACATGATCTGCCAGCCCACCATCACCGATCCCGTCCAGCGTACAGACCCCTCCCATTCCTTCGTGCATCACACGAAGCGGTCGACTAACGGCCAAACGTAAATGGTATGCATATCTCACCGACTGATGTTTCCCCATTGTTAATTAATAATATTTTATCGTCTTGCGTCGAGTGATAAAAATAATACATCCTGAATGGTGAACCATGCGAACACGTGTTATTGTTAAAACCAATTTAAAGTTATTTTTAAATTTAAGCTAGGAAAGCTTAGAGAGAATAAATCATCACTCTGCACACAGTCTTCCAGAATAAGCAATTGTTTGGACATCGTTGGTCATATATGTTGGGTGGAAGTAATTTCGCCACACAGCAGCAGTGAAAATCGGCCCAGGTGTAATCAACCACTGTGAGCAGTATCCTGACAAAAGGAATTCACATGATCAGTAAGAATACGCTGCATGTCGAATGTCGAGTATAAGTGAAGCCAAAATATTCGAGTATTCGGTAAATTTGTGTTGTGTACAGATTGCATAAGAAACTAGGGTTAAACACTGGGATGGACGGGAGAAATTCAGGCCTGCTATTGTATACTGTCATGCAGTGTAGTGGCTGTTCAGGTCCATGATGCTGCAAACAGCGTCATTTGAACAAATGACGTCAAAGATGCAGTTTCACCCGACTGCTGTTATCATATCACGGGGGGAGAATATGTAAGACCTCATCACTAGACCATTCAGTAGGACTTAAGGGTTTGAGCTTCATACAAGGTCGCTTTTGGTTAGCTTCGTTTTCAAGTGAGCGGTTGCCAGGACTAGGAGAAACGGCATGTTCGAATGTAAGCAGCAATTATAACCAACATTTTTGGATGCAATTCCGACTGGGGCCGTGAATTTTGGGGAGGTTGTAGCCTGGGGCAACTTGTCTTCTGGCTTTCTTTATCTCTAGGTGGCAAAAAGAGATGGTTCGCACATGCTGAATTGAAGTTTGAGGTATATTTCGACGCAGTATGTATCACCATCATTATATGCAGGTCAAATGGGAGCGGGAAACATTGAGATATGAAAGGTGGAGCTAGTTATTTTAGAATTTCGGGGACATTTTTGAAGGCTAGAGTATCTAGGGGGAAACGCCGCCTATCATCATATGCAGGACATACTTCTTGTGCTGCGCACCCCACTTATGTCAGCATATATCACATTTCATTGTTGTTTCGTTGTTCGTAAATCACTCAGGAAATGTGCACGTATTCAAATAATTGTAATCAATACTTACAATTATCCTTATTGATGCCGTTTTCTCAATAGTATACTTTAAAGCAAATGCAAGCATATTTTTATCTGCACACACTTTTTGTACGGCCCGGTGTGCAGTTTTTTCTTCCCCCAGAGTGTTCCTTCGGATTTTCAAGGTGGTAGTTGTATGAAGACTGCACGAATTCATTTATAAACCACTTAAGTTAAAGGTAACGTTCCTATCTTATCACTTTTTACACCTTTTTACATCCTTCCTAGTACTTTTAAAAGTGCATACTGTTAATCTGTAAAACTTAAAATTTGGGATCCGAAGTTTTATGCGATCCAAGAAAACTCTCTGGAGTCTTGCCACTCGCGTCTATACTCTTGAGGCGAGGAAGCATGCCGAAGAATCCCGACCCAAATTTACCATTGCTATCAGATGGTCCAGAATACACTTGGCAACACGTCTTGCCCGGTCTGTGCCACAACACCTCAGAAGGTTATTTTCTAGTGTGAGCTGTAGTACATTGATTACAGCGGTCAGTTTGGGACACTAAGTACTCTGGATGTAGGCAAATCAGTGTGACGGGTAATTAGCACTCAAGGCTGTTCAGAGGGCTTGCACTCTATGTAGCTGACCCACTGACTGATTTGTTTGGTATATCCCTTAGTGCAGGGACACTCCCCTAGGACTGGAAGGACGCCGTAGTCACACCCCCACAAAACAGGTTCTATGCAGTGCCCATCAAACTGGAGACCGATTAGTCTGACTAGTACTGTGAAAAATCCCCCAGATAATGATCAGGAAGGCCACTACAGCCCACCCGGCAAGTAACACACTGTTGTCCCATTCACGAAGCGACTTTCGCGGAAGTTCCGTACACTTGATGAGCCCTCTTACACCCAGAGAAAGTCGGGTTAAGTCTAAGGATGATGGGGGTACCTTTAGATCAGTAAGACGCTTGACAAAGTACCTAATCCCAGGTTGCTCCTGAGAACAAGAGTCTTCGGAATCGGTGGTGGTCTGCCTGCACGGATCACAATTCCTTGTTGGTAGGAAACAAAGAGCAAGGGTCGGTTCTGAAATCTTCTGTTGGAAGTCGAAAGAAAGCAGAGTGCCACAAGACACATTCCTGGGGCCCCTGCCATTTCCCCTACACGAAAATGAACTGCCAAACATCACGAGATCCGTCTGCGGTTCTCTACGCTGATGATGTAAAACTCTAGAGGAAAACCGGGGTTGATGGGGACGTAAGGGTACCTCAGATAGATGCTATCGGCCTTTCAACCAGGTCAGAGAAGTGGTTGATGCCTATCGATGCCGACAAGTGTGTGAGCAAGCACTTAGGGCATGCAAACAGCAGCAACGACAGTGTTGGTGGGACTCCTCTATTCTGAGTACTGACCCACAATCATCTATAAGTCCCAGGAGGTCGCTAGTCGAAGACCACTACTCGTTGCCGGCTGGTCTCTGCCCGAAATTTTAGGACACACATGGCGTCATGAGGAACGTTTGCGAAAATAAAAGGTAATGCATCCGCCTTTTGCGCATCTTTAGTTACGTTTCAACCAGAAAACTGTGCAAAGGCGGCAAATCCTTGCCTGGAAGGTGACACGGACCCTCTGGAAAGATTCCGGGGGACAACGACTCGTCTGATCCAGGGGTGGCTGGCGCAGCCCACGAAGAGCGAATTAGGGGCTGAAACTCCCCTTTTTATCCCGATAAGTGGTACCTTCGAATGTCTTCTCAAAAATACTTGTTCTCCGTGCTTCGGTCTTTACCAGGACTAGGTTCAAAATGGACACATAGCTCTATGTCCGTACCTTCCTAAACCGAGCGGATAATCACCGACCATCCGGAAGGTTCTGTTTCTGTTTCTTCCCTTTCGAGTGATGACCGGATTACGGTGAGCTTCTTGGTGTGCCTACTATTTTCAACTTCTTTCTATTTCCCAAAGTCGTTTCGTGTGAAAGGCTGAATATTACTTGGTGTGGTACACATTTTTATGATTTGTTCAGGCCAAAATTTCTTCCCCTTTTGTGGATTTGTCTTCATTATTTGGATCGCAGGATAGTGTAAGAGCTGCGCCTCGTATGTCTTAGCTGGAATTTTCTTTCAATGTAGCCACAAAGCACTCAGGTTTTGCTTGCATTCTGGAGCTTTGGTATGCTGACACTGAAAACCGATGTTCAAAATAATGCTGTTGGGACTAGTAAAGGACAAAACCCCAACGTTTATTCTGTGCGAGTCCAAATCAGTTAACTCGAACTCAACAACATCAACAGTTTACTAACTCAAGCTTTCACTGGGTTTCCTAATCATTTTGCCCCCAAGTTCGGAATATACCAGCTAGCGGCAAATACCACAGAAAATGATGTTATGTCGTCAGAGGAGAAATTAATCCAAAAAATTAAGTTAGTGGTTTCAGTTTGAGGATGCCATCGACAATGGTGTACTTTGTCCTCTTCCATCAGAAACCAATTTGTCCGCAAGACTAGTGGCTTGCAATAAGAATCTGATTGATGTGAAAATGCGATAACCTGATGATACTTGGTCCACCTTGACTTGTTAATTTTTTTTCAAAAACACCCGCATCTCCTTCTTAAGGTACTTTCCTTGCCCTACTTTTATTCTGCCGTCGATCTATCCTAGGATTTTTACTGCAACCCATGTGTCATCAGAGGCTGTGTCATCACTATAGCAGTCGCCTGCTTCCCATCGGGGTACTAATTTCCTTGCGGAGTCACTCGGGAACGATTGAGCTTCACCAACCAATCTTCTGATCTACGAAGAGTATCGTAGACGAGGGAGGATAGAGCATGCTCTAGTATGGTTCCGGTATGCTGCAGACGTACGGTTCTAATACCTGTTGTGGTGCTGCTCTGGGCATTTATCAAGCAACATACTGGGGACGATTGCAAAGTGGCACTCCGGTCTACCACAAGAACGTCTGACAACCTGAGTTAACCGTCTCATGAAGATTGAATTCGAGTTGTGACGCTGACAGGACTTTAGAATAAGGCACTTCTGCAGTAGGAACAACCAAAACAGAGGCCCTAAAATCGGTGTCTAGCCCTGACTGTTTTGCTACGATATCAAAATTCGTTCTTCGACCAAAATATCTGGAGATTCACGCTTATTTCGAGTCTGTCACCAAAAGCTCAGATGCTCTCGAAACATGCTTTGGATGGCACTTTGAGGTGTAAAACATAATAAACCCTCGACTTCTGAAGAGAGAAACAAAGACTTTTGAGATGTTGCAAACCACTTATCGAACTAACAGGTAAAACATGAATGGTGCTTTAGGCAACTTGGCCCGCCCTTTAGCTATTGGAGGACATGAGGCAAAGTAAAACAATCAGCGGTATCATACATCAAGTGAGCCACCTTAGAGCTACAGTATTGTCGCTCCAGGGCTTACGGTCATATGCGGACTCTGCTCGTATAACCTTACAGAGGGCTGATAAGAGGGTTGTATCCAACCCCCCACGGCTGATGATTGGCGTTGTGGAACGCTTTTCTAAAAGAAGTGATCATAGTCCCTCAGTAGATGTTTTCAGAAGAATGCTGGGTAAACGAGTGAAGATGTGCGAATTTCCCCCGAAAGACAGCTGTAGCAACCGAGAATCTGTTTATCGGCCCACCTACTGCTCCTCCATAGCATCTGTACTATGGACCAAGCCCCATTTCATATTAAAAGCGGTAACACATTCCCCATTAGTAATTTAATTCTTTTTCGCGTTTCATATATCCACGTAATCTTTCAAAATACATGAAGAATCACGATTTACTGCCAGACTACAGGCGTCCTTGAAGAAAGGGATAACAAAATGTTCATTATTTTTATCACTAGCTCCTTGACTCCGCTATGAAAACCAACCTTCATTTTGCAAAAGAATACGTTACATAGACAACCACTACCTTAAAAGCAATAAACCGGTACATTGCGGATACTTATATGATAACCATAGGAGTTTGAGTGAAGAAAGAACCGAGCCTTATGACCTGTGCTGGAATTGTTGTTGAGAGTTGAATACTCAACCAAGTGCGCAACATACGACATGGTTTGTTACGGTGGCTACTAAAATAATCTTAGAATGATATTTTTATTCCACCGTGCAGATCTGCATGTGTAAATGGAATGCTACTGTACGCCATCAGCAGCTAATTGTGGTGAGGATGGACGGAAAAAGTGTGATCGAAATGTTTCACACTGCTTACTTTCCCTCAGATGGCATAATGAGTCAAACAGGCACACTGAACATATTCAGGATTGTTGGCCTTGGTCACCTGATGTAAATTCATTGTTGTTTTTAATAATTTTTAAGGATTCTGACTGTCCTAGAGAATCTGGGCTATGTTATCTTCTGTCTGAATCAAAGGAGAAGTTTACCAATTGTTGTTGCAAAGGCCCTCTCTGTAATGGGGTTGATAAAAACACCATAATTCATCCTCCGTCAAGTGAGTTGAATTGTTCATCCGTCTGGCTTTTTTTTATCACCGATGTGATTTGTAAGGGCTTGGGTTACAAAACTAGGTATCTAAATGTGTTAAGCTGTCTTCCGAGTTCTTTACTCATATGTAATCCGATTTTTTCAAGTAGATTATTGATCTAGCAGTATCACCGTCAAAATCATAAAACAGGTGTGCAATAAAATATTTTACTTTCGTTTTTAGGATAAAGTTTGACCTTAGTATTCCAGTTTTCAGGGATTGGTGAATTAGTCAGTGTACTCTAATAGTTCAGTGTTCTCAGTGAAAAACTAGACACTGACATTCTATTGTCAAAGTCTCAAGAGTTGCTTGTGATCTGTTTTAAAATAGTAGACCGGATTTCCTGACTCATATTTCAGCAGCTATTCCAAACCTTTGTGAAGATTTAACACAAACCCTTATCTTTCATGCCAAGATGACTTTTGCCGTCACTTTTATCATCTGATGTCTTAAGATCGTCATAAGTATCGCTTTTTATGATTAGAGTATGTTTCTACTAACTTAGCTGTACTCTTGTCTAACACAAGCTTTTATTATGTATGGGAGCCTGCGTACATGTCAAGATATTACCAGAGGCTACTGACAGTATAAATATTATAATCAGTCTAGTGCCCGATTTCTGTAGCTACTTGTCTTGTGTTGAGCGCAATAATGAATCATTGACCTAGGTACTCGAGTTTCAATCAGTTTGTCCAAAATCTTTCCACCTACCAGGTTGTTTCACAACCCTCATTAACTAGCGCATCAACCTATACACTTATGAATTTACATTACTACTTATTTGTTTTTACTTTGATTACGGGTGGCTCACTATGCACTGCATCAACGTTTTGGGTATCAACGCTGACAACTTTCATTGTCCTGCTAAATATGAACCAGCGTGCCCATAAATCTATCAAAAAGGTTATCCTGCACTTTAGTTTTATTGTATGTGTTGCTTTGAAAATCCAATCTTACTTTGAAAGTGCCCATAGGTGTACACTTATATGAGGTCTTTTCTCAATTTTCAGTAAGTAGTGTAGGCTGGTCGAAGACATGTAGTCACTCCTCTCAAGGAAAGCTAAAAAAGTCACTACCCACTTTGGTTCCTACCCTTTAAACTCGTTCAAAAGTATTCACTTCATATTTGAAACGTTAACTCACTACTTGGATTCCAAATGACAAACTACAAGGACTTTTTAGTTGATGATGAAAACAATCAATCTTTGAGTTGGTTTTTCTCATTGTGTTGTATATTGCAGTCGATGTTTTACTATGACATCGATTTGCCATTGACCTTTCCAAATTAAACTTCTAGTGAACACTGTACCAACATCTTAGTCATAAAATATATTTTAAAACTTGTAACGTCTAGTTGTATTTGTTCATTCCCCTAACACCACTTTACCTAAACTACTTGTCATTCAAAGTCGCTAATTTTGATTAAACTAGAGTATACGTCCAACTAATAGCAACTATGACCATCGATGTGAGCCATATAGATGGGTATTTGGTGTCCATGAAACAACTAAAGTTTATAGTTAAAGGCTTTAGGTCATATGATTGTATATTGCACTAGCACAAATGCACCTATAATTTTACTTCACCAACACTATAGAATATTATCATCTCATATCTTTATTCCTTTTATTCTTACCCTTTAGTTATTGTAACAGTCATTGACTTTAATTTTATATATCTTTGCTTTCCTTTTACGTGGTTTCACTTGGTTATTTTCCTTACACACTTCACTTCTTTGTTTATGGCTTTCTACGACTTTTGAATAGTTTATTTCCGTTTCTTTGTCTGTCGTTATGTATCTTGATATGTTGATATAGAATATAGTGAATTGGACTGATATGCAACTACACCTGATCCAATTTGGTTTATTTATCTCGGAGCGGCCAGACTAAAGCATGGTATCACTGCATGAAGCTTTGACTATTGACCTGAGCCATGTAAGGAGATGCAAAGTAGCCATTTGATTGGAATCCACGTGACAATGGAAACCAATGATTAAAGACTAGGTGATATGGCTGAGAATCGATATCAGGGGCACAGATGTAGCCATATATTGTCTTAATCTTAATCACTATGCTGAATTCACAATTTTCTCATTCTTCCTTCCTCTTTTTTGCTGCTGACCGATTCTTCTTTATTTCCTCATCTCTCATCTTACTGCTCTGTTGCTTGATGTGTTGATATGAGGTGTGGCAACTTGGATCATTGGACCTAGTCCTATGTTGATATTGATGATGATGATGATGATGATGATGATGATATCTCATGATGGCAGCGATGACCAAATATGTTGCTTTCTCAAAAAATTACATGTAGTTGGCTGAAGTAAAACTATATCAGTTTTTAGTAATGTGGTGGAGTGGTTTCAGTGTTTTTCATCATCATTCTTTTTTTCTTTAGCTCAGTTCAACAGATCTGGAAAAACGACTGGTTTAGATCCTATTTTTACGCAAAATTCAAGACCACTTGCAAATACTCCGTTACCAAGTCAGGACTTTTACACACAGCACAAAGATAGCTTTCTTGCTTTGATAATCACAGCTCCCATAATTGCTGGCTTACTCCTGATCTTCATATTCGCTGTAATTGTACTCTTTTTACCTCGTTATCGCGTCTGTCGTTTGAAGCAGGTAGGTATTGCTATTTTTAATTGATCTGTTGCACTTCGTTTAGAGCTTGAAGTTCCCAAGGAAACATAAAATCTGCACACATTGTAGAAAGTCATCTAGCTTGTTGTTCAATCCTTTCCACAGTCTTACAGTATGTACATGTGGTCATCCTGCCAAAGATGTCATTTCGGATGGATCGGTTGCACAAAAGGAGTATTTTGGTTTAAACAATATGTCTAAACACCCGATAACTGGTCTTCAGTGGTTACCTAATAAGTCTGTTGAGGTGAGTTATGTAGGAAACTGCCCGACTTCTTTTTTATAGTGTGTGGTGGTTTTTCTAGTTGTACTACATCATTTCATATCTATTTTGAATTTAGGAACATATTCTGCTTTTCACCAGGTGATAGAAATTTATTAGGCTCATATTTGGCTAATGGACATCCAGACTGTAGTTGTTACAAATGTCCTGGAAGAAGTTTAGCTCCAAGTCTGATTGGATCATCATAAGAATATATTTTAATTCTGAACACGCTGGGGTTGTATTAGAATATATTCTTATAATGATTCATATTCAGCTATTAAGATGAAACGACTTGTGTATACCATATTTATGAGTAAACTACTTCAAATGCTTGATGAAATTGTTAAATGAGGAGTACAGTTTTAGGTAAAAGAGGCACATTATTTTATTACGTTATGAAAATACACAAACTAAAACAGTTAGAGCATGTTTCAACTGTGTTGAGTTACAGCCTAACTCGACGTTATTGTTTGTGACATATTCTAATTAGGTTTCAAAGTTTGAGATAGTCTGTAAGACAATTTGGTTTTCGTCGAATCAATCATTTTCTGACATATTTTAACCTGAGGTTTTCATATGCTCGCAAAGTGCATTACTTTGCCGATTTCTCCTTTGCAGTTTACTAAGATTTGACGATGACTGTGAAATGTTTTGTTGTTTTAGAAGGAGAGTAAACACATGCCATTAGGTATGAGTAATACATCTCGTCTATGTGAGTTAATGAAGTTCCACAAATTCATCAACTAATTTTCCTCTTCTACCTAAAACTCTACTTTGGACTTCTACATTACTGATGTGGTGCATCATAACGTGCCGTCTATGCTATGAAGGCAACGGTGGTCGTTTATATAAAGCTTCCTCATGTTTGCTGAGGCCACCCTGTTTTCTCCTTTCGTCGAACATATTCTCTTGTCCTCTGTTTTTTAATGGCCATCTTTCACAGTCATGTAGTAGGACAAAGCAAACGGCAGTGCAGTACACTCGATCTTTAATAGGTAGTCGGATATCACAGCGGTGTCATAAATGACTTGAGTTGGTGAAAACCGGGAGAGTATTTGTATCCGTGCCGGAATTTTGTAAATCACTTACCCGCCAGGGTTGATCCGACTTCTTATGAAAGTTAGACGATCAAGGCACTCGATCACTTCACTCCCTATTGTTAGGGGCATCAAAATTAGCAAAACTTTGCATTTGGGTAATGAGAAACGCATCCTTAGCATTCCCGAATTGCTACTGAAGGTGTCTAACAGACTGCATCTGGTCAGCATCTTCACCCAATGGAACTATTACCTTCGTATTCAAAGCTCACTAAGTAGTCTTGTGTGACAAGATCAACCCCTGTAAAGTCAGATGGCGAGAGGAAGACCTCTATAAATACATCGATGACCAAAGTAAATAAAGACGTATATAACTTATCGTACACTTCACCACAGGTCGTAACACGTCAGTATATATTTGTCTGGTACCTCTTTCAATGAGAGACAGCCATAGGACCTCGACCAATGGAGTCGAATGCCACCTTCAGATCGAGCAGTACACCTTATGTCGGGCGTCAACAAGTGTCTGTGTTCCAAAACCTGGTGGAGGGTTAATATCTGGTAGATACATCCATGACTGCTTGTGGACAGTTGTCGCGCCAGGTTCAAAAGATTGCGGAGAAGAAAGTGCAATAGAGGCGTACTACTGAAGCCCTATGTTCCACTAGCAACCCAAGGGAAGAATAATAATAAATAATACATCCATGGCTGAGTTTATTATAAGTATATTTGTAGTGAATGTTTGCACACCATGATGTTATTTAGTTTTGGCAGTATTTGGAGCAAAATTGCTACCACTGATCACACCAGTTGTTGGAATTATTTGTTTATAGACGGTAATTTTGTTCGAAATATTACCAAAACTGAATAACATCATTGTATGTAAGCATTCATTACAAATACGTTTATAATAAATCGATTCTCTCCACAATGCAGACATTTTCCATGGATATAATCCAAAACCTGAAACCTGTCAGATTTTCTTGGGTTCACTTTTCTTTAACTTCACTTATACGTTTGGTGATTATAAAACCTAGGATCGTAAGCAATATATTTGTTAGACTAATTCCCCTGGGATTATCACAAGAGGATTTCCCTCCTTTCCTGAATCCATTCAGAAATTAGATATACCAGACAACCAAGGATTGGTTGAAAACTTCTGGCTATGATTTCCGTCATCTTCTTTCTGAGTGAAGCACAGATCCAGTCTTATCCGCTATATTCTCAATAACCATTAACTTTTCGCCTTTGTTTTTTTGATCAGTCTAAATAAGTGTTTAGTGTTACCTGTTGAAGTTAAACTTCTAGGCCAAATCCACTTTCTACACCGACCTTCCATGCTGTATAGAGTAAGATTAAATAGGTAGAAGACATTACTTTTAATTTGTCCCCTCTTAATATATGCTCTTGTTGTTTCTTTCAATATACTTTCATCTTTGTTAGTTTCTTGTTTCTGCTACAACAGAATACAGCAATACGAACATATAGAAGTGTGTCAAGTGCTATATTACGTTTATCTAGGTTCACTAATATGACAGGGTTCATTTTTTAGAGAGGAGTGTTATGCCTTAAATTTCATCTCAATGGTTCAGCTACCCTTATTATATACCTTGCTCTTGAATTAATTTTCGCTAAAAGTTCATTAACTCAGTGTATTTCGTTTCCAATTTCTTCATTTCATCTTTGATGAAGACAGACAGATAGACTGTAGTCAACATAACATTGGTAGTGAAAAACATTGTCTAGTCTTACAAAAGGATCGATGGTGACTCAGTTTATCTCATAGTAGCTTTTCTTACTTTGATTATCGGTGTTTTGGACGCAGGCTTTAAGAAGAGTATGTTTTCCATGAAAATGAGTTGTAAATTAACTGATAAGTACTAAAAGTCACGAAATTTGTCTACTTCCGGACACTAAGTATCAAAAAATATCTCCAACCTCTATTGTTCAGTCCTATCCATCTTATTTAGTCACTCATACTCTTTCTATTTTTGTGAAGTTAGTTATGACAACTTCGTACCAACCTTTTACAACTCAAAGTAGCACAAATATATTCACTCCTTGTTATTTTCAGGATTTTAACCATTTTTGTTTGTTTCTTCTCTTTCATTATTATTACTTTATTATCGCTTTTATTTCCTCCCTCTTTGTTTTCACAAGTTAGGATAACAGGAATGGCAAAACCTTTGTATGAGATTTTCTGTTGATTTGTCTCTTTGTTATGAAATGAATGATTACCAGTCAATTACGGTACTTGTTTTTTGTTAAATCTATCATCACCTTTTTTTTTCTATTTGTTTTCATACTTCAGTTATGTTCTATGGTAAAGAAAGTTGAATTAAAAGCACATGGACGTTTTGGTCAAGTATGGCTTGGTCAATTCTCATCACCTATTAATAATCAAAATAATTTGAATTCTAATTCATCACAATTATCATTAGATAAACACAACAAAGAAATAGATGTAGCTATTAAAATATTCACTTCGACTGAGAAGCGTAGCTGGGAAACAGAAGTTGGACTTTTTAATGTTCCAGGCTTAGAACATACTAATATTTTAAAATATTATGGTGCAGATCAGGTTAGTTGAATGATTAATTTTGTTTAAATCCTAACTATCTTTGTTTATTACTGTAGCATAGTGTATAGTGCATCTCACCATCTTTGTTACTTAATTATGTATTAAGCTATGAGTACCCACTAGCTGACCATCTAAGCTGAAGTAAGGCAAAGGAGTTTAAACTTCTAATCATTACTTATTGACATTTAAATCACATTTTCACTATTAGACTATCTATTCTCGGTTGGAGTGTTAGTTTAACTTAAATCAGGACTTAAATTGTGTCTGCATTCAAATCCCTGACTGTGAGGTTATAGGTCATTTGTTACTCGTTTAAACTCACCCCCACCTATCGTAGTGTAGGCATCCAGGTTACATCACTTCTCCTCATAGAAATAGGTGACGTTCATTACCTATAATGTGCATATGTATTTGATTATTAGGTGATGACTGGAAATGAAATGAAAATTTGGGTCATTGTAAAATTTGAACAGTTCATTAAAATTAACGTAAAGTCTCGTAGAACAAGATCTTTTCTTTTCAAACTCAACATGTTTTACGATTAAAATTTTTTAAAAGTTCAATGATAAAGATTCATCAGACTTAAATCAATCTGCGCTTTGGTTGCATGTCGAGTGTTCTCTAGACCTTCTAACCTATTTAACAGTTTCTATCGGGTATGCTTTCCTCAGAATTGGTTGCATAAGTTGGGAAATCTATAAAGATGAAATAAACGAATATTAAAAAACTATCGTTAGGATTGTTAATATAGTCTATAGTCCATATCGTAGACTAAAACCTTGAAATATTTTTAATGCTTATCACTAAGTTTTTCTCTTTAAAAAAATTGTTGATTTTCCTTTCAACTTAAATAATGCAGGTTGTTGTAAATAATTCCATCGGTGAAAATAAATTAGAGTATTGGCTAATTACAGAATATCATCCACTAGGAAGTGTATACGATTATCTTCATGTATACAGTGTGCAGTGGATAGATTTATTAAAAATTTGTATTGGAATCGCTCAAGGATTAGCACATTTACACATGGAAATTCCAAGTCTATCAAAGCCAAGTATAGCTCATCGTGATTTGAATTCACGTAATGTACTTCTAAAGGCTAATCTTACAGCATGTATTGCTGATTTTGGTTTAGCGATTCGTTTTGAAGCTGGCCAGTGTATGAGAGATGCACATTTGCAGGTGAGTGATTTGTCATTTAATCATTTAGTAGATATTTACAGTAAACTGACGGAAATTTTTTTGACTTATATCTTGTGCTTGAAGAGGCAGCGAAGATGGGACTTCAGGTGAACGTGGAGAAGACGGTGGTGATGAAGATACCCGACCACCACCACAAACAACAAGAGGCACTTGTCACCATCAATGGGAGAAATCTGTAAGAAGTCGTCTCTTTCACCTATCTACCTAACTAAGCAGCGTCGTTTCAACTACAGGAGGCTGCGCTAGCACAGATGAGGATGTCAAAGCTGGGATCGGAAATGCAAGACAAGTCTTCATTAACCTGAAATCAGTATGGAGATCTACCCCACTCCACTGCACTCAGCATAAAGCGTGAACATGATCCGGATTTTCAACACTAATGTCAAGTCAGTGCTTCTATTTGATGGTTGAGAGACTTGGTGCGTTACGCAAAGCATTTCAAAGAAACTTCAGACACACATCAACAGCTGCCCACGCGTCCCAGAGTGACATGGTGGAGATCGTGTGGGGAAAAAATGAAAGCTTGTGGGCAGTTGTAGAGCCAGGTTGAAAAGACTGCAGAGAAGACAGTGGAGTGGCGACGTGCTACTCAGGTCCTATGTTCCACGGGGAACCCAAAGGACAAATAATAATAATAATAATAACAACAACACATCTTGTGCTTGCTGGCATTTCATCAGCAATATATATAAATAGCATCAGCGGATGAAGTCTTTGGTTGTTGGTCCGAGTCGTGTAAAGAGGTATAGACTACCTGACTGGGGCTTCCGTGACGATAGGAATCAGTGGTTGAGGACTGTTGGTGAAATGTCTGTAAATTGGTCTCAATAGCGCAGATGTTTCCACTCTTTATTGTCTTTTGAAGCTTGAATGTTTTGACTGACCTTAATTGTGAACAATTTGATCTAGAGATCTGAAACTTGTTATGATCCTCTTCTAAGTAAACGATTGTGTCTTAATGCTTTTTGACAAGAAGCAACAAACCTGGACTCAAACTTTCCAATGTTCTTCTTCAATTAGTGAGGACTGTAAATTTTGTTGCCTAACCTTCATAATTAACTCTACTTCTCAGTATTTTATAGGATCCTAATACTAATAACTGTAAAATATTGAAAGGTCGAAATCTACTCAGCAACCTAGTACACATTTGTCCAGTAGGCAGTGAACCATACCTAATTGTTTGAAGACTAATGATACCATCTGGTTGTCCAAACCTTGACAGGGAAAGCTGGCTAGAAACCTGCGACCCATCGGTTTGAAATCAAGTACCTAGACTAGTGAACCACAGCTACATACTGCAAAGTATGACTGCTGCAGCCGATTTCATTAGAATATCTTATGTCTACTAATACACCATATTATACTATTTTCTGCCAGTCATTGATTTTAGTGTTGATTAATTGTAACCAGTTGACTAAATGGCTTATTTACATCATCCCAGAACTAACACGTTTTAACTGCTCACAATTTTGCCCAAATCATTTAGCATCATGTATTCCAGTTTCCTCTAGCGATTGTTCATCTATAACACTGTAGATCATAAATCTTAATCCCGTTGAAATCAGAACTGAGTCCTTTTTTTTGTCACTGAGATTTTTACAATTTCAAAGACTTATTGGTCGAGTAAGTACACAACAAAGAGAATTTTTAAACCGAATTAGACAGTTATATTCATGTCGTAAAACTATCATATGGTTACTAATGTGGAGATCAAGTTTATGGGTCCTTAGGCGGAAGAGATAAGCCTCCAATTGATCAAGTTGTAAGCCAGATACAAAGATCACGTTGAATGAAGATCTCAAAAAAAAATGTTTTACGAGTGTGATGTAAGGTGAAGACTAATCACAATAATTAACGGAATAGAATGCATAGTTGCAAAATATGTAGAAAACAGTTTTCAGCATAAGACTTGACCAAGAGTAACATGAAAACAAAATGAATATGATTTAGGGTTATTAAAATACTTGATAAAATATAACAAAATTGTGAATATTAAGAGAGAGAAAAGAAGGGGGGTTGAGAATTATAGCCACTAAGTTCAAAGGGTGAACGAGTTTCGTATGTTCTTTCCGGTTTCTGTACGCATATAACAAGAGCTTGTGCAGTGTACAAAGAGTGAAAACGTGCCATTTTCGGAAAATTCTTTTCCACCTTGTAGATTACTTTTAACGCTGAGTCATTAGTGATGTGATATATGCTCAAATATTGCGTTTTTGATGGATTCACTCGCATCTATTTGCAGACAAGCGGGGGTAATATTCTCTAACCCGTTTGGAAAAAAACGTTCATTGGATGACCTACATACATGGCTGGCTACACTAGAGCAGGTGAATTGATGAACGCATATGGAAGTGGTCAGATATGGAAGTCAGAAATCTTTGGATGACACGAAGAAGTGAATTATTATTATTAAAAGTTTTCTTTAACAAGTTAGAAATTCTTTTCAAGATATCAACAGCAAAGTCACCTTTGAAATCAATATTCATGTATAGTATCTACTCTGGAGCTGAAATGGGCATCTGTCTTTGTAATTCAGGTCTTACTTCTTTTTTTTATCCACAAATCGTTTTGGTTATCCATTTTCAATCAGAACATTTTTAAGAAACATGAAGTCAGTACTGCAGATTTATTGAATACAGTGCGCAACGGACACGATAAGTACTCTTTTTTTCAACTAATAGGTACCCAACTGTCTAGTGAATATTCCATACAGGTTTCCAATGGCTGATATGTACGGTTGTGTCGTAGGTCATTAATTTACAGGGAGTGTTTATTATAACGGTTCAAATATCGATCGTTTTTTTCTATTTTGACGCCAATGGAATTATAACTCAGTTGTATGAACACTTATCTTTCAAACATTGAGTCATTCTGTTGATGTTTACTTGGTTGTAGTTTTGTAAATATTTGGTCTACTCCTATATAATCTTGCTTAATCGGTGTATCATTTTCTATTTCTTATTAGTTAGGTACTCGTCGATATATGGCACCTGAAGTTCTTGACGGTGCTATTCAATTTTCAAAAGATGCATTTCTACGCATTGATGTTTATGCAATGGGTTTAGTATTTTGGGAGTTGATGATGCGATGTTGTTGTGGTTCCAATAGAAGTTCATTAATTCATGTCAGTGATTATTTAGCACCATTTGAAATAGAACTTGGTCCTCAACCATCAATGGAAGGATTACAACGTTGGATAGCACATGCGAAACAACGACCAAAATTTAATCCACAATGGGCGTCAGATGTGGTAGGTGCATAGAGTTGTTTTTATTGTTTATTGAGCTGTGTGACTTATATCTAGCGCGATTAAAATCATATCACACAACTCTAGCACTAGGAGCTATGGCTCGTTGGGAAATGACTCTCAACTAATGGGTCATAGATGGGTTTGAACACCGCACTCCACCTACCGACGTTTGCATAGCTAAGTAGTATCACTAACCGTCACACAATAAATCATTAGATCATTGCCTACTGCATGAATGTGCACAAGGTTACTGATTGGATTTCGATTCTATTCGACTCTAGCACCGACTTGTTCACATCTGTTATCATTCTGAAGGATGTTACTGTAGTAACGTGTTATAAAGTTGTCTAACAGTATTTCTATCGAGTAGTGAGTCATTAAATTACACACTCAGTTGTGGTATGTGTTTGAAGTATATTCTGTCTACTGATGTTTAGTTATCTGGTTAGTGTCTCAGACCCTCACACAATGGGTAGAATATCTCATCTTCGCCTAAATAAGAGTGTATATGATAATCAAATTTGACTACACTACAGCGTTTTTTCTTGTGATGCTTTTGTTTGCTATGCTAAGAAAATGGTGTTTCAGTCGTCAGGACAATTTTCACACTTATTCATATTGTTATTCTTGGTAAGCTGCACCAGTGACCTCTATATTACCGATTTGGCATCCAACCAACTTAGTTAAGAAATACGGACTTGTTATAGTGACATTGTATTCTAGGCGAATGTGCTCATGTTAGTTGTGTTACATTCAACTTGTCGAAAATTCATGTTTTTATTCTATGGTTATTTTGAAACAAGGCGACTAAAGTTTACGTTTAGTATATTAGTTACATAATGTGTAATTTTCATATTCGAAAGGAATTTATTTTAAATTTGTCAGCAAGACTGATTACCATTATCATCATCTATCAACATAGGATCAGGCATTACTGCGTAACGGTCTGAGTTGCCACAGCTCATATCAGTACATCAGCTAGAAAGGCAGTGAATTTGAAGATGAAGAAAAGGAAATTCAGTCAAAAGAAATATAGAGTACTCAAAGAGAGAAAGGAAGAATGGGAAAATGGTGAGATTCAATCTAGCGTCGTCAAGATGAGGATAATATGTGCATGCATCTGCTCGATTGACATCGGTTTTGAGCCATGTGATCGCCTAGAGTCTCCGACCATTGGTTCCTCTTGTCCCGTGGACACCAACCAGCTAGTCTGCGTCACCCCACATGACTGAAACCAACAGTCAAACACTTCATACATTGGTGCCATGTTTTAGTCTGGGCGCCTCGAGGTTTTTTCCATCCTGATCGTACTTTGGCCGACGTTGTGTGACTAGGCAATCGGCGACTAAGCATACGTGACACGTGACCTAACCATCTCAGTCGATGAAGGTTCACAACCTTATCAACTGACTTGCCTCTTCTCCTTAAAACTTTACACCTGACTTCTGCGTTACTAACGTGGTGACACCATGGAATACGGCCTATACTACGAAAGCAACGGTGGTCAAACACTTGAAGCCTTCTCATGTCTTCCACCTTCAATGTCCATGTTTCACAGGCAAACAGTACAACAGAGCGGACTGCTGTACAGTACATGCGACCCTTGATAGACTATGGGATATAACGGTGGCGTAAGTTGGTAAAAGCCAGTTGAACTAAAATTAACTTTGAAATAACTGACTATTACGAAATCCTGGTAAATCTTGTCACTTGACAGGATTCGAAACACCGCATGTGTGTGTGCTGGAATCATTGAGTTTCAGGCAAGCATACTTCATTGACTGAATTTTCCGATGTTCTTAGGAAATATCACTAAGTTGTCAAATCTTGATATGACCCTAATCTCGGAAGTTACCGATGGGTTTTTCTAAGAGTATTCGTGCACCCTGTTTTAATCTTTAAATATTTTTTCACGTTAATTATTCACCTATCTTTATGGTATTGTCTCTGTTGTTGGTTACTGTTGACGATTAGGTCAACTTAAACTGATCAAATAACAAGTTACTTTCCATATTTACTATGTTTCTATCCATCACTTCACGGCATTAACTCACTAAGTCTCTAATTGTATAGCAGAGTGTGTAGGTTGAAATCGTCGAGATCTTCGAGATCAATGATTGGAGATCTTTTTGTGATATTGTTCAAAATCGGTCACAGACAATGTATGGGCTTTTTATCATCTAACAATATTAAAACATTCTCATCACCCTTCATCTGTTAGTTGGTTGCAGGCACTCGTCAGCAAGGAGTATCTGCAACCGCGATGGAACTGATGTCCCGCTTGAGGTTCGAACCCGCGTCACCCAGTGTTGTATTCAGTGACTTTACCACTGAGCTATTCGGGCCACGATTGACCTCCTGTATGACTGGCTTACATGTATTGATTGGTCACGAGAGTGCAACCAATTTCATGTTGTCTAGTCCATCTTTTAGTCTCCTCTACTGTGTCTTACGCTTTTATTTTTCTGAAGTGATGGACTTGTGTATGTATGTGTATATGTGGGCGCGAATGTTTGCATGTATATTAGGTTTTCCGTTAATTTGGTTGTCTGTCGCAATACATGATATTGAACAAAAAGTTGAACGATTATATAAGATAGTAAATATTTCTGTTTATCGTTATTGGAAGGCTACATCATTTTGACGGATTATTCATTCTTGTGCACAGGATGACAAATATAAAAATGTAAATGTAACTGTGTGGTCATTTCATCACAAAATTCTAAAGTATATCTCTTGGATATGTGAAACTCTCGAAATAATATATACAATCAGGGAGTGAAAAGCTAAACAACAATGATTACTCCCTTTAATAAATTTCGATAACGCTATTAGAAGACGAAGATTATCTGAAAAATGTGTGATGTGTATTTATGCAATACATTTCGAACAATCTGATCACACATTTACTTGTCAAGTCAATTTATATATGAAAATTAAAGGTCAAATATAATAAATATGAAAAGGTTGTGACACTAGTCTTGGTAACATAATCAGATAAGGGTTACCAAGGTAAATTAAGTGAAACAACAAACTGTTTTTGTACACACAGCGGGGGATTAAGTTTACGAATGGCTAACGCTTCGGCAAACTTCAGTATACGCCCCTGATTATTCCTGTATATTATCTTAAACGCTGTTTTCGTATTAACCTTGTGATTCATTTCAATAATATGTTTTGCTATAGATGACGATGGATGTCTGTCACCTGCACTTATCAAACACAAACACACAAACTTTGATAAGTGCAGGTGACAGACATCCATCGTCATCTATAGCAAAACATATTATTGAAATGAATCACAAGGTTAATACGAAAACAGCGTTTAAGATAATATACAGGAATAATCAGGGGCGTATACTGAAGTTTGCCGAAGCGTTAGCCATTCGTAAACTTAATCCCCCGCTGTGTGTACAAAAACAGTTTGTTGTTTCACTTAATTTACCTTGGTAACCCTTATCTGATTATGTTACCAAGACTAGTGTCACAACCTTTTCATATTTATTATATTTGACCTTTAATTTTCATATATAAATTGACTTGACAAGTAAATGTGTGATCAGATTGTTCGAAATGTATTGCGCAAATACATCACATTTTTCAGATAATCTTTGTCTTCTAATAGCGTTATCGAAACAATGATTACACTGAATATGTTTGTGATATTTACAAAATACGTGTAACTCCTCAATCTGATACATTAATCTATATGTGGTTTCTGATTCATTGGTTTATGGAGTTGACTTTCAACGAGTAAGTTATAAGCTTGAACTCTGCTCCACCTACCGAGTTTACAGGTAGTAGAATTGACCCTCAAATGGTAGGTTGTAGCATACTGCCTACTGTACAAATGTACACAAGGTGGCTGAATGCATTTCCATTTCGACATTACTCTATATTTCAATGCGAAATAAAGGTTTTATTCATCATCATTTACCATCCCTCTTATTCCATGCTATACAATTTTCCTTTGATCAACCGTTGTTTTGTAAATAGTACATTTCGTCATTATCATTCACAGTTTTCGATTAATTCACAATTATTTCATGACCTTTTGTTTATTTAGTAGTAGGATTTCTCCTTTGTATGCTAGACAGTGATTAAAACAATGATGTAATTGTTGTCTGATTATCTTCTCGTTCTAACCGTCTGGTTTAAATGTTGTTCACTGTGATAGTTATCATATTTGTAATCGAAGGTCAATGAGAATCACTGACACAAAGTGAGTGAATGTCTAGGTTAGCTGTAGGTGCATGCTCCCCTCAATGAAAATCAATTGAAGATATAAAAATGTGGTGAAGGATGCAAAGAAATAAGGGGTTTCTGAGACTTGTAATGCTCACTTTTTTTTGAGGGTAAGCATCATATTTGCTAACCTCCAGTCATGTTATAACATCGAATTCTGTTATCTTTAAGTGTTGGTTAGTTGGAGTCAGTCAGCAGGGAGCCCTGTTTGACGTACGTTTCGCGCTTGCTGTTACTCGTCAACAATGCATATCTGCAACCTCGAGGAAACTGATGTTCTCTCCGAGATTCTAACCCGCTTCCACAGTCAAAGACATTATCACTGAGCTATTCAGACCGTGACTGACCGCATGTATGACTGGATTATATAAATTGGTTGGCTACTGAAGGGTAACCAACTTCATGTTGTCTAGTCCTAAGTGCTGATCGAATTTTACCGATCATTTAGCAATATGGCCACCAAGCCATCAGAGGACTCACCATTGTGGTTCACTTTGGTACATGTTAGTTTTTGGAAGCAGTCGGCAGGAAGTCTTGGATGCAGGTTTTGTGTTTGTTGACACTCGTCAGCAGGGTGAATATACCAGTCTCCGCTTTGCACTTTTGGAAAACATTTCAGCTTAGCGAGTAGAATGTGATTTTTTTCCCCTCAGTGTTATTGCTTTCTTTATGCCTATGAAATGTGTACGTTTCTACTCCATCAAAATTACGCATGGTAGCTGATTATTTGAACCTCTTAGTTTGAACCTCTTAGT